CTCTGCCTACTTGTGATCTCTGTCAAATAAATAAACAAAAATCTTTAAAAAAAAAAAAAAAAAAAAAAACAGTGTCTCAAGAGGACTGGGGCTCGGCTCATTTCCTAACACACCTGCCTCTCCACCCAAAACTTGGCCTCAGCAAAATGAAAAATTATCACATGCCAAAGACCTTCAAAGTTGCTTGGAAATGGTCAAAATAGATAGTAAAGCTCAGAATACCAAGGGTTTACGGAATATAAATATCCAAACACACACACACACACCCACACACACACAATTTTTGTGTGGTGCTTCAGGTATCATCTATACTATATACGTCCTGCTTTTTTTTTTTTTTTATACGTCCTGCTTTTTAAAACACACTCGAGTGTGAACTTTCTACAATGCCACTAAATAAAAATATTTACTGCAGCCCTGTTTATACAAGAAAAATGATTTTAAAAAACCACCTCAATATCCAGCATTAAGGAAATGGTTGAAAAAAAAAATCACAGCTTTTTATGAAACAAGATGGGACTGGGAGGGAGACAAATCATAAGAGGCTCTCAATCTCACAAAGCAAACTGAGGGTTGCCAGAAGGGCGTGGGGGCAGGGAGAGGGTGGCTAAGTGATGGACATTGGGGAGGGTATGTGCTATGGTGAGTGCTGTGAAATGTGTAAGCCTGATAAATCACAGACCTGTACCCCTAGGGCAAATAATACATTATATGTTAATAAAAATAATTTTTAAAAATCATAGCTTTTTACAATTCTTATAAATCTATAAATTTTGATATATACAATGCCTGTCATACCACTTACAACTACATTTTTCTGCTTTGTTACTGTTTAATTTAGATTAAAGTGAGGTATAAAGGAAATTTTAACTTAGTTTTCACATTGTACTCTAACTTGGCTTCTTCCCAGCCTCAATCCCTAACCTTTCTTTTCCCTGCTGATTTGGCTTTTGTTATATAGTAATGCATTAGACATCTTAAGATCTGTTACTAAAATGTAACCTGTTAATCTAGTATATGTAGACATTGTTTAACCAAACTATACTGTTTCGAAAAATTTCTATGGTGTATTTTAATACCTTTAATCAAAAATTCATCCTTATTATTCTTTTAAAAATAGTTATTCCAGCCTATTTATTATTTCAGGTCAACTTTAGAATTATTTTGACAAATTCCAAAAAAAAGCTCACTGTATTTTGACAGTAATGAATGATTAGTAGAAACTAATCCAAGAAGATTTACACGTCACATATATCCCCATGTAAGAATGTTTACTATATACGTAATGTTCATTTTTTCTACTATGACCAAAAATTCTGATTGCTAAGATCAGGGAGTAAAATATCTAAAAATGAAGAGTTAGAATAATCCTAAGTAGGTAGCAAAGTAATTAGCAGCAAAATAGATTAGTAGTGCAAAAAACCATCACGCGCTAAAATGTTGGGGAAAAATTCCCCTAAAAAAACCTTTCAGGGGCCCCAGGACATTCATGATGCCCTGAGTTGTGAAAATAAATCACAGCTGAAAGCTGATGCTTAAAGGTCCCCCACTGACACAAGCAGGCAAGGTCTCACTATAAGAAGGGAACATGCAAGTTAACAGATGCAATATAGGACGTTCACCCTGGAAGGGGCAACCAGGTTCCTGTCCTTGTCCAGACAGTAATTTTTTTTTTTTTAGATTTCATTTATTTATGACAGAGAACAAGCACAGGGGAGCTGGAGAGGGAGAAGCAGGCTCCCCGTTGAGCAGGGAGCCCAATATGGGGAAATGGGGCTCAATCCCAGGATGCTGGGATCATGACCTGAGCCCAAGGCAGACACTTTAACAACTGAGCCACCCAGATGCCCGTAAGCAGTACTTTTTAAAAAGTACCCTTAGCATGGTCCTAATGTTAGACATTGCATGTTTTACCTGGATGGTAAAACTGCTTCTCTCAGTTGTATGACTTTACAAATAAGACCAGAGAATAAAGTAAATCAAACCTATAACATATTAACACTTAGTAATTAGATTTTGGATTAAATTTTATAATCACCATAAGTGCTTGCTACGTGTTACGAAGTTATTTGAAACATTTAAGAAAATCACACATAATAATGATTGACTTATTAGACTTACAATTTTAATTTGAAATGGTTAATGCAAGTATCAAAGTGTTCATTTAAACCTAATTCTACATCTGTCGGAAGAGAAGACATTACAAGAGTTATGTCTTTGGAAAGATTTTACCATTAGGCTTATAAATTCACCATTTCAGAAGTCTGAAGCATTTCAAAGAAGCAGCATATAAAACTTTAAACGTAGGGGTGCCTGAGTGGCTTGGTTGGTTAAGCATTGGGCTTTTATCTTAGCTCAGGTCTTGATCTCAGAGCCATGAGTTCAAGTCTGGCTTTGGGTTCCACGCTGAGGCATGGACCTGCTAAAAAAACAAAAACTTTAAATGCAGTTTAAAACTTTTAAGGGTAGTTAACATTTGCAAAAAAAATTCATTGTTTAGTGGAAAGTAATCTTTTGAACTGGTACCTTAATTGAAGCTTTGTCAGGAGTCAAATATTTTTATTTTTATATAACTACTCTTAGATTTATAAGTAAAGTAAGATGGGGGGGGCACCTGGGTGGCTCAGCTGGTTCAGTGTCCAACACTTGGTTTGGGCTCAGGTCATGATCTCGGGTTGTGAGATCAAGCCCCATATCCCGCTCAGCATGGAGTCTGCTTGGGATTCTTTCCCCTTTTTTCTCCCTCCACCTCTCCCCATTCCCTTTTCCTCCCTCTCAAAATAAATAAAAATCTTTAAAAGAAAAAAGATTTGGGAGTGAAACTTAAAAGGCTTAAGAAAAACTAAATATTTAAATACTCAATTTTAACAAATTGAACATCACTCTAAACAAAAGCACAGTACTGTACACACAAAAACATCACTCCCAAAAAACCTCATCCAAGAAACACTAGCCTTCTTCTGCATCTTGGTTTATTCCCAGGAATCACACTTTTTTTTCATCATACATCCTCTTTTTTTTTTTTTTTTGACAGGGGCAGGGAGAGAGGGAACACAAGCCAGGGGAATGGGAGAGGGAGAAGCAGGCTTCCTAAGAAGCGGCGAGTGGGACTCTGGGCTTGATCCCAGGAACCTGGGACCAGGTCCTGAGCCAAAGGCAGACGCTTAATGACTGAGCCATACAGGTGCCCCAAATGTTGTATTTTCAAACTGATTATCAGTGAAACAGAAAAACCTAATTTTGTATGATGACTTTGTAATTAGTCTCCTTACTTATTTAATGGCTTTCCCTTCCCCCCTCCACAATAGGCTGCCCTGTCATTTCTGGAAATGAGAATTTTTTCTTCTTTCTGAAATGTCTCTATTTTTGTTTCATGTCTTATTGCATTGGCTAGAACTTCCAAAATAGCATTAAACATATATTCTTTGCCATGTTCTGACTCTCATGGGAATGCCTCTAGGCCCAATGTGATGTTGATTTAAAATTCGTATATTTTAATCAAACCATTAAAATATCCTTCAATTGCTCGAAAACTAAAGAGTTTTAAAATTAAGAACGTGTTGAATTTTATGAAATCATTTCCTGGAAATCTTAAATGTGTTTTCAATAACTGGTTTGCCCTTAAGACAATATGAAACAGTAAATGACAGCTCCTGAAACTAACTGCCGGTACTTAAGGGAAACTGAACTCCAAGAAAAACGAAGCTTCCGACAAGCCAACTCACTAAACAAACAAACAAAACACTCTTACAACCAAAGTCTCTCTATAACAGAAACACCTACTGGAGATGCGTGAGGATCCACCACCTTTTTCCAAGCAAGAGGGCGACTCAAGAAAAACTCTAAGTCGACACGTAAACTATGTGGGGTCTCCAAGAGGGATTGGGACCTTTTCAAAAACTGTTATTCTCCACCCGGGTGCTTGGGCCCTGTGCTGAACTGCTGGTGAACAGTTCCCCATTCAACGCCTTGGTTTTCACGTACTGAAACTACGCGAGCATCTGCCTTCCTGTGGTGACAACAGCCAGCTCCCAACTTCTCTAAAAGTGTCAAACTACAACGAGAGGTACGTGAGAGCCCGGTCCCGACAAAGACACGCACCTTTGTCCCCGGCGCGACGCAGGCTACGGCCCCTAGGGCCGCACTCGTCCCCCCGCGGCCGTCCTCATGCCGGCCCGGGCGCCCGGGCTGCGGCGCTGCTAGCGGCCGGCCCCCGAGCCATGCTTCCCGGCGGGCGGCCAACCCGCGCCGCGGCCCATGGCCGGGTCCCCACGCGCCCGGGGGAGCCTCGCCGGCCGTGCCGCCGCCCCGGCCCCGGAGGAAGCGGAGAGACGCCGGCTCCACGTCGGTCGAGCAGCTCGAGACCTCGGGCGGGCTGCAACTGGCGCCCCGGGAGAACTTGAGGCGGCGAACGCGGGCTCCGAGCCGCTCCCCGGACGCCGGCCGTTAGAAAGCGCGCACCGAAAGACCCGTCCGCCCCCCGGGCGAGGCCACGCAGAGCCCGCCGGGCGCGGGCGCCGGGCGCGGGCCCCGGGCGCGGGCGGAGACAGGCTTCCAGGCCGCGCCGAGGTCCGTCAGGGCAGCTCCCGGTGTGGCGACACGGCCGGCCCCCGCGCGGGACTAACGGCCGTAACGGAAGCGCCGACCGGAGGGGGCTGGAGGCCAGAGCCCAGGGGCGGGGCGGGCCGCTAGGGCTGGCTCCGTCGCGAACTCGAACGGCCGCACCGTCGCCGCCACCTCCGCCGCCTCAGACCGCGGGCGCTCCGTTGTCACGAGCCGGAGGGAGGGGGAAGGAGCCGGGAGACTCCGGACTCCGGCGCGCCGAGACCGCGGCGCCCGGGTCACGTGCAGCTCCGCTGGCCAATGAACCCCTGAGGGCGCGGTGACGTCAGGGCAGCGGCGTGGCCGATGACAGCCGGCCCTCGTCACGTGGCCGGGCGCACTCCAATGGGCGGCGCCGGGGCGACCTGATGTTCCCGGCGGCCCGTGCGTCGGCGGTGGTTGGGTGGTAAGATGGCGGCTGTGAGTCTGCGGCTCGGCGATTTGGTGTGGTGAGTCCGGGCGGCCAGGGCTAAGCGAGGTGCGCCGGGGAGCTCCCCCACTGTGCGCGGGGTTTGCGGACAGCCCCGGAGCTTCCTTTCTATGCGCTCCAGGCTGCGGAGAGAGGGCGAGATGAGGGGCCAGCGCTGGGAGCTACGCCGGGCGGAAGGGGCAGCCCGGCCCCGGGGGACTGAGGCCGAGAGTGGCCGCGGCGGGCTGGGCTCTGAACCCCAGGGCCGCCTAGGGGAGGGCTTCGCTCCGCACCTGCACGCCGGCGGCCACCGTGAAGGGAGTCTCTGGCGCCGCACAGCTCCCGCGGACGCCGGGTCCTTGGGGTCTTGCTGAGGCTCCTCAGACAGCGGGAAAGTCGGGGAGCCGGCGGGACCATCTCGCCTGGGCAAGCCCGTCAAAACTCGCGTTGAAATGGAAACGACCTGTGCGGGCTACTTGGCTGGGGGTGTCGAAACCGGACTGCTGGCGCTGCCCCGTGAAGAAATGGAAGGGGGACTTCTCCTTTACAGCTGAAGGCTTGGCAGTAAGCAGTGCCTTCTTGGGTGCCTCTTGTGGTCTGCTTCTGTGTCCCAGACAACCGCCCGAACCAAGACTGACTGTCGCCGCTTCCCTGGAGCGACGTAGCTCACTTTTCGACCCAGAGGAAGGTTTCCATTAGCATTTGTCAAAGCCGGGCTCGCGAATTAAACCAGACTTTGTAAGGGGAAGTCTGTGTTTCCAGAGCAAACTACCCTCCAACCCCCGTCACGGGGAGGCTCTATACAAGTGACTCTTGGTTTCGTTGTTCTGTCTTCCCTGTCACCCAAAGAATGCACATACTTTATGCACTTCTGTATTTCATTTCTGAAGAGTTTGGGCCTCTTGGGCCCAGCTGTGGAAGCCAAATTAAGACCTCCTGTTTGCCAGTTTTTGTTCTGGCACTTGAGGGTGCAGGTGGAGAGTTAGGAAACTAAATTTGACGTTGAGTGGGTTGAAGGAGATGGACTGGCTTTTCCAGGGCAAATGCTGACTGTGTGTTTTCTCTAGGGGGAAACTCGGCCGGTATCCTCCTTGGCCAGGAAAGGTGAGTGTCTTGCTACTATTGGAAGATATGTGAAGTGGGTTTGAGGAGCTGGAGACTGTAAGATTCATTCCCCTCAGTTTCTGGCATTTAGTGAAACTGGACCTATTTAAATAACACTCAGAGGGGTGCCTGGATGGCCCAGTTGTTAGGCATCCGCCTTCAGCTCGGGTCATGATCCCTGGATCCTGGGATTGAGCCCCGCATCAGGCTCCCTGCTCCCCGGAAAGCCTGCTTCTCCCTCTGCCACTGCCCCTGCTTGTGTTCCCTCTCTCGCTGTCTCTCTTTCTGTCAAATAAATGAATAAAACCTTCCAAAAAATAAATAACTCAAAAGAGTTTTTCTCTCTCTACTGTTGGTTTAGAAAAGGCAATATAATATAAACAAGATCTTGTAATCTGCAGTAAATGCTTATCTCTTGAATCAGAGGTGGTTTTGGTGAAGTTTTTTAATCCTGGAAATCAATTCTAATTTGAATTTAGCTTTACACTTAAATGTAACAAAAGGAGAAGAAAATAAATTCCCCAGGAAGAGAGGAGTCTAAATGTAGGTTAGTGAAAAGTCAAAGTATTTTTGTCCCAACTAAGTTTAAATCTTCTTTCCATGTTACCATATGTGCTGCTCCAGTGCATCTTTGCAGAAGTTGGCATTCCAGATTTTGCATGAGGCGATCCGTCATAGCTTTCCAAATGTTCTCTTTTTATATTCTTGCAAGGAGCCCAGGAAATGTCTTTAGACTGTTTCTTTGCAATATGGCATTTTCATTGCCTCAGTTGTTCTCATTGTCATTATTACCTGCCTCAACTCTCCTTGCACAGTGGTTTTTTTTTTTACTTGAAGCATAATTAACAAAACATAATAGTCGTTTTGGGGTGGACAACATATTGATTCAGTAATTCTATACATTATCCACTGCTTACAGTGATAAACATAGACACCACCTAACATTTTTACTTTACTGATGTATTTTTAGAACTGTTCTTTACATTTCTTCAGTGATGACAGGGTCACGTGGTTGGGGGGGTTGATGTTGATCTTAGTTTTAACTGCTTTTAAAACAGTGCCAATTCCAGCAGAAGGGATATTCTACCTACTGAACAGTGCTACATGGTAGATGTAGGGAACGTAAAGAATATTTGCACATTTCTACACATCTCAGTAGAAAAGTGCCAGACTTAGATATGTACTACCTGGGTTCTCTTTAAACATATTCCTTTTGTTTCCTTTTTTTTAACCAACTTAGAAGTATGGAAAAACCTTTTCTCCCCCTTTTACTCCCCAGATTGTTAATCCACCCAAAGACTTGAAGAAACCACGTGGAAAGAAATGCTTCTTTGTGAAGTTTTTTGGAACAGAAGATCAGTGAGTAGTGTTCATCAAGAGTTTCGCTTTCCCTTTCTTTGGGCGTTGTCCTGTATCTGAGCTGCTTGTGAGAATATTCTAGGGACCCTAGGTCATTTTTACTGTAGTCTGTCAGAATGGCGTATTGTTTTGTCTTTATACGTAAATAAAAGGTGCTGTTCTTAGCTCCTAGAAATTGTCTTGGGGCCTATAACAATTTCAGTCGAGTGAAAAATAGAATTCACTATCTTCTGAGTATGATAATCACAATAAAATTATCTCTGACATCTCTTTATCGACTCCCATAGGTAGTTCTTCTTATAAGGGCTATGTTTGTTTCTCTTTTAATGGCTGTTTATCATTGTGCTTCATGAGTGAGGTTTACAGTGAAATCAGGACCATTCATTTGAGATTCTTTGATAGGTCATTTGGTCACAGTGAAGAAGAGAATGTGTATTTACCTGAGTTTCAGGTGATTTGTTCAGCTTTCTTGTTATTACTTGGATTTGATTACCTGGGTGTAGCTAGATGGTTTAAGTAGTTGCATTTCTACTTACCACTTTTAGAGAAAAATGTGGTTTTGGGTTTGAAAATGTGAGTTTTCTGAGGAGTCTAATAGCCGTGGTTAAAATATATGTTATGATATTCTATAGCAAGATCTCTTATAAAGTGTTCTTCACTCATTCAGGAGTGTACATACCGGAGTGCTCAGCCGGGGTTAGAGGGTTTTCTGTTTTGTTTTGTTCTTTAAAGATTTTATTTATTGTTTTTTTTGCAGAGAGCCTGCACAAGAGAGCATAAGCAGGGGAGAGGCAGAGGGAGAGGGAGAAACAGGCTCCCCGCTAAGCAGGGAGCCTGACGTGGGGCTCCATCCCAGAACCCTGAGATCATGACCTGAGCTGAACGAGATGCTTAATGGACTGAGCTACTCAGGCACCCCTTGGGTTAGAGTTTATTTTGTTTTATTTTATTTTTAAAAGATTTTATTTATTTGACAGAGAAAGATCACAAATAGGCAGAGAGGCAGGCGGGGGTAGGGTGGGAAGTAGGATCCCTGCTGAGCAGAGAACCCGACTCGGGGCTTGATCCCAGGACCCTGAGATCGTGACCTGAGCCGAAGGCAGAGGCTTAACCCACTGAGCCACCCAGGCGCCCCTGCGTTAGAGTTTGAATGGAGTGTTTATCTTCACCGTGTAGATACACCAGTATACCCAGTTCTCTGTCACAGAACAATTTACCACCTTTTGATGACAGTATTCAAGGGAGTCACTGGCCCAGAGCTTTGAGAGCCAGAGACACTCTGGAAGCCAGAAGGTTCTGGTAACGCCATTGACTTTATAAGAAACATTGCCCCAGTGTATAAAACAAGTGCTAATTGTACAGCCACACCAAATTGTTGACACCAAAAGGAACTTGTAGAGAAAAGCAAATGTTGTGGGCCTTGCCTTTTAGGAATTCAGGTGACAAGACATAAACATTACAGATGGGAGTAAGTGCAGAGTGAATGATACAGGTGACTATTAAAGGGTTCTAGAACAAGGAGAGATCATGGAGAAGAGGCAGATCAAAGAAGGGTGATGGAAGAGATGGAGTTAGAATTCACCTCTGGAGGACAGATAGAATTCCAGCAGGCAGGACGAAGAAGGGCAGTGCAGGCAGTGTGAATGCTGTGAGCACCTGGGCGTTAAGTTGGATGCATGGTTAGAAAGAGGCTCCCCGCCCCCCGGGTTAAAGAACTGTGCTCAAGAATAACAGGCAATGTGGTTGACCCAGCTTGGTTAGCTAAGTGGAGATGTACATGTCTAAGACAAAGGTGGAAACTCATGGGAAATGGGGGCTTGGTCAGATTACAGGAAGCCTGAAAGCCATTGTGATCTTATAATGTAAAAAGCTGCAGGTCAGAAGAGAGAACGGATACCTGTGTGTTAAAAAAAAAAAAATACTATAGGTGAGACGGAAAAATGGAGTTGAGTGCATTTTAGCACTTCACGAGGCACACGAGTGAAGCCAAGGAAAGGGACGCACTTAACTCAGAAATAACCTAGTGGGGGCGCCTGGGTGGCTCAGTGGTTTAATCTGCTTCCTTCAGCTCAGGTCATGATCTCAGGGTCCTGGGATCGAGTCCCACATCGGGCTCTCTGCTCAGCAGGGAGCCTGCTTCTCTCCCTCTCTCTGCCTGCCTCTCTGTCTACTTGTGATCTCTCTCTGTCAAATAAATAAATAAAATCTTTAAAAAAAAAAAGAAAGAAAAAAATAACCTAGTGATGTTAGAAGTGGTGGTGCTGATGTGACTTCTAACTAAAGTTCTTTGAGGGGATTCATAAGCAGGTGGATTTAGGGCAGCTGTTAGGTATAATATCTTTAAGCTTGTTAAGCTCGCTTGGTAGAATTCCACATAAAAAGTTATTAAAAAGTAAGTTGTCACAGGACCAATACATTTTTTGGTGGCTAGGCAGTTGACAATGAAAGGAAACAAGGGGTGAGGATCTCCAGGCACGTCTCTGAAGGAAGAAGGGTCCTTCGTGATGAGTGATCAGCAGACATTATTTACTATCTTTAAATGATCTGAAGGTGAAGTGTCCAGGGGGTTACTTTGAGGAAAGAGCTCTGGATTTGATGCTGGCGTCCTGTGCATTCAGATGCCATCGCACCTGCCCTACAATTTGGGCAAGTTATTTTTACCTTTCTAACCCTTGTGTCCTTGCCCACAATGTGGGACGATGCTCTCTACCTTGTAGTTATGCAGAAGTAGTGCCATTTGTTTGTAGTGTGTTGTGGTATACGACGGGTTCAGTAAACTTCAGGTTAACATATAAATACAGTACGAGAGAGAGTAAGTTGGTAAGAAGCAAGTGGCTTTAAGGGAAACTTGAGAGGTAGAGAAAGGATTTGTGTTTGAAAAGAAAGACATTTGAGAGTTGGAAGTTCCTAAGGACTTCAGCGAGGTCTGGTTTGTGGGGGTTGTTTTTGTTTTTGTTTTAAGACTTTGTTTATTTGAGGGGCACCTGGGTGGCTCAGTGGGTTAAGCCACTGCCTTCTGCTCAGGTCATGATCTCAGGGTCTTGGGATCAAGCCCCGCATCGGGCTCTCTGCTCAGCGGGGAGCCTGCTTCCCCCTCTCTCTCTGCCTGCCTCTCTGCCTACTTGTGATCATTCTCTCTCTCTGTCAAATAGATAAAAATCTTAAAAAAAAAAAAAAAGATTTTATTTATCTGAGAGAGAGAGAAATAGGGACAGAAAGCCCAAGCGGAGAGAAGAGGGAGAAGCAGGCTCCCCACTGAGTGGGAAGCTGGACTCGGGGCTCAATCCCAGGATGCTGGGATCATGACGTGAGCCAAAGGCAGAGGCTTAACTGACTGAGCCACCCAGGCGCCCCCACATCTCTTGTGACTGAAAAGGCTTCAAACACCAAACAGTAAATTGTTCTACCTTTTTTTTTTTTTAATTGTTACATCTTTATGTAAAAACTGTGCTGTGCCTTGCCAGGAGTGCTATGTGCAGTTGAGTCCATACTCCCAAAGGGATCTGATGGTACTAGATAATATCAGAAAAGGGAACCAAGTCAGATCAAAGAGTAGGATTCTTTAATGTGAAAAAGAGCACAATCAGAATTGATGAAATGATGAATGACCCCAAGGAGGTAAACATTGACCTGCTCATAAATCATCAGACGCTTCGATAGCAGCACTGTGAGCAGAACAAATGCTGTGGTGACTATGTTTAGGGCGTGCATAAGAAGCACTGTAGGAAACGGACATTTGAGAAGTGCTTTAGACGGGAAGTACAAGTGGGTTTTTAGAGATAGAGAACTCCTTTGTGAAGGGCAGGGCCATAGGTGGTTCCAGAAGAAACGGGGCTCTACCTCCCTTTGAAGTTTGATGTCAGGGAGAGGAATATGATGCTTCCCGCACTGGATAGGGCCTGACCCCATGGGGCTGCTCCTGAATTCCTGAGCAATATAGGATTCAGTCAGACATGTATCTTTTCAAAACTCTACACTCTGTATGGGGGAAAATATTTATAGATATGATTTTTTTAATATTAGCAAGGATCTTTATTAAAGAGTGTAAAGAGTAGCTCCTTAAGATAACAATTTTAGTGGCTCAGTTGGTTAAGGCCAGGTCATGACCCCAGGTTTCTGGGCTCGAGCTCCATGGCGGGCTCCCTGCTTGGCACAGAGCCTGCTCCCTGCTTTCCCCGGCTTGTACTGTGTGTGTGTGTGTGTGTGTGTGTGTCTGTCTCTAGTAAGTAAATAAAATCTTGTTTTTTAAAAAAAGATAAATATTTCAATCTTCTAGAAAACTAGTTTTTCTCTCCCCCTTCCTCTGTCAAAACTTCTGACAAATTGCGTTGATGTCCTATTAGGAAGAGAGAGGACCAGACCTTCCTAACCAGCGACCCCTGGAAGGGGAAGGACTTAGTAAGATGGCTGGATTCAGCTCTCCGAGCCTGGATGGCCAGTAGAGGGGTTACTCATGGTCGTTTTCTATTTCACAGAGATACAGAGGGAAAAATAACTTTAGCATAACTTTGACAACAACTCTACCAGGTGACCACACCCGCAGATGAAGTCTCAGGCACGTGAGAGCCCATCTCGGACAGGGATTTGCCCATCAGAATAGAAACAGCCTGGAGTTTAAAATTTTCAGTAGTGGCCATGGAATGGCAGAATGGGGGAAGCTCATATAGTCTGTGGGTGTTCAAAAATGCCCAGAAACAAACAGTTCAAGAGAAGGCTACTGGCAAAAGAGGATAGATCCCAAATGACCACCGGAGAGTTTGTGTAGCGCCTTCACACCTGACCCTACAACAGTCCTTTAGGGAAATAGATAGCATATTTGTTCTGGTTCTCACTTTTTAACAGATTAGTACACTGAGAGGCAGGAGATTTGTGGAGTTCAGTGATGGAATTTCCAGGATCCCAATCTAAGAAACTTTTTCCATCAAGGCAAATAGAAGGTACGACTCTTGGAGAAGAACCTACTGCTTGTAATTACAAGCAGATTGGAGTCATCTGAGCACCCCTCTTTCTTTTCGCCTGGGAGCTGACGGCCCCGCTTTGCCTACATGCGACACTGTGCAATAGTTGGAGAATGGAGCCAAATGGATGGCAAGTGCGCTGCTGTTTGTACTGAGCCAGCAGTGTCCTCTGCCAGGACTGGACGGTGCCTGTCCTAGAGAGCACGGAGTAGGTTCTCCTGTCCCAGCACCAGCATCGGTCCTACAGGTGACTCCTCTCATGGCTGAGACAGTGGACTCCAGGAACAGGTGTCATGCACCAGCATTAAAGAATCCGGCACAAAGGAAGTGGCTGGCCATATTGGCATAGACAGCACAGCTGGGAAGCGCCTTATCCAGCATTCAAGAATGTTTTCAAGTTTTGAAAACAGAATCTTCTTAATCTATCTTATCTGCAAGTCTTTGTTGATGTCTGTATGATCATCAGTGCTTGAAACTAATTGGCAAACTCTTATTTTCTTTGTGACTTTTTGTTGTGTTTTGTTTTGTATTTTGATTTGTGAGTTTTGGGGTGTCTTGATTTCTGAATAGCTTAGACTTGGACCTGTAACAACTTAGTAATCCTCAGTCTCCTTAAGTGGTTTTGAAGCTGGGCAAGCATACAAATCATTTGCTTAGTACTACTCATAAAATCTAGATGGAGAAGCAGCCCATGTCTTCTGTCCCCATCTTTGTTCTCACCTTTGGACTATGCTGACACGTGTGTGTTCTCCCTCCCACCCCCACCCAGGTCTTTCTGTCATGCAAAGTCTGAGTCACATACCTGAGAGTTTTGGAGATAATTCGTAGACCCACGTTTAATTTGTAGACCACATGTTTAATACGATGTGTACATGATATGATTTTAACTTAAGGGAAAAGCAGGTCGGAACTATGGAAGTTTTTGAAAACATGAGGTGTTTGAATTCATTTTGAGCAGAGCGTGTAATGTGAGAGGGCTTATAGTAGAAATGAGAAGAATTTATAGGAGGTGTATCAGAATACCAGGGTAAGTTTGCTGCTCCTGGCTGTGTTACAGGCGCAGTTACTGCAACCAGCCAGTAGCTACCCACCTGAAGAAGTCCTGGGGGCAGCCCCCTGGGCAGAGCAGCCCATGTTCTACAGCAGAGGCCTTTATTGTTGATTTGATGTTTCTTAAAGATAATACATGTTTATGCCCCCCACCCCCCGCCTGCCTGCCCAAATCCAGCTATAAACTGTGAAACTTCCATTCATCCCTGACCCTCAGCCACCCAGTTACCAGCCCTTGGGCATCCAGTTATACTGGATTCTTATGGCATGTCCCACCAAAGACACTACGCAAAATCAAGAAGTTACATCCTCCTTTTTCCTTGTTTTTACACGAGTAATAGCATACTGTACACACGGTTCTGCATTTTGATTTCTTCCACTTAAGCAGACATCTTAAGGGACCTTCCTTAAGGGTTCTTTGTGATGACCTCACTGATTGCTACTACAGTGGGATTTACTTCCTTGTGCATAAAAGCAAAGGTTCGTACTTTACACACCACTTGACTAAGCTTGATTTTTCTGACTCCCAGCCCCACAGCAAATTACGCAGAAAAGGTCCAGCACCATCTAGGCATCAGGAGGATGATAAGAAGGAAATCATAAGTCACAGCTCATATCACATAAAGAAACAGAAGTCACCTAAAAAAAAATAAACAAACAGGGGCACCCGGGTGGCTCAGTTAAGCATCCCAACTCTTGATCGCGGCTCAGGTCTCAATCTCAGGGTCATAATAAAACAGAAACAGAAATGTACAGACAACAGCAACATACAGAAAAGGCCAGCAAAGCCTTATAACATTCCAGCGTTCCAGCCCTCTGAACTTGCCTGGAAGGCATCATTTACTCAGTGATTATTTATTGAGCACCAGTTGCATGCCAGGCCCAGGTGACGGACATCAGTGTACTAGAGAATGGTGCATTATTGAAACTCTGGCTGAAAAGCATACTCTTTGAGGAGACAGAGTTCTGCAATACAGACTTCAGAGAAAAAACTCTATTTCAATTTGGCTTGCTTTCAAGAGGTAATCCTCCTAGAGCCCTGCTGGGCTGGCCTTTTCCTTACAGTTTTTCTGATGGGGCACATTGCTTCAACAATCTTAACCAGATTAATATTTCTTGCATTTATCCTCTTGATATGTACACTGTCCCTTCTTTTAGCAAACCATCTTCACTTTTCAAAAAATGGTCAGAGAGGAAAATTTCATTTGAGAATTCAAATGCCAGTCTGGGGATGAATGGAATTTTGACTGTACCATTCTTGGGGCAGAAATCAGTAATCCACTTAAAATGCTTCAGTGGAAACACACGCATGGATTATTGGTGCTTCCTCTATGGATGTCCCTACCTCTCCACTTCCCCTGAATCAGAGGTTCATGTGGGGAGAGGGAGGCAGGGATTAGAATGCCTGGAGTGTATTGTCCCATCTCGGGTGGCTCTATAAACCGCCCCCCCCCATTGATCTTACACCAAAACTTGTGTGGGTCCCAGCTTCTAACCTGCTGCTCAGAGAACAAAGAGGCAAGTCCAGAGCACGTGGCTCTGTAAGCTTCATCGCTAGTACTTTTGTCGTCTTGGTAGGACAGCTTAACCTGCTTTTCAGGGTGTGTCTGGCTTTGCATCTGCTCTGGTGGTCTGTCCTTAGAAACACTAAGTGGGAAGAGAAGCAGGATGGTCCCAGTCAGTGGTGTACCTGCCAGGCCAGGTAAGGTCAAGATAGAATTCCATTTTTCCTCCCGGTAGAATAGATCAATTGAATCTATCATGTCAAGTTTCAGGCTTTTAGATGAGTTAGTTACTGGAAGGTACCTGCTCACCTCACCTGGTTGGAGCTTTATGCAGTGAGGCCGCATCTCATCGTTCTGTTCTCTGTGGTTTTGTTTCGCCGTAGGGAACCTGCTTAGTCCTGGTGTTCTGTCACATTTGCAGGCTGATAGTCCCACGGCTATTATGTTTGTACAAATCCATCGTCACAATTATTCATATAACATGCAAAGCATAGGTGGCCATTGGTGGCTTGGTCGCACTATTTTTATGTAAAGATTAGCACTTTTTTTTTTTTTTTTTTTTTAAATAGGCTCCATGCCCAGTGTGGAGCCCAGTGTGTGGGGCTTGAACTCACCGCCTTGAAATCAAGACCTGAGTTGAGATCAAGAGTTGGACGCTTAACTGACTGAGTAACCCAGGCGCCCCACATTTTTACTATTAATGGTGAATATTCTCCAGCTTTGTCTAAAGGAGAGGACCTTAAGTTAGTTAGGTCCCTAACCTGACCCCTTTTTTCAGAAGGTTATGCTCTGAAACCTGAGTATTGCGTAGTAAAAATGTACATAAGTTAACTGTTACCTCACCAAGCCTATAAAATCCTCTCCTTTGTACTGGGATACTAAATGTCATTTAGGAAAATCACAGGAAGTCAGCAGGGGCAGATTTGTTCAGGTTAGTATGGTAAGCCAGATATTTCAGAAGTGATAACTGGGGCGCCTGGGTGGCTCTGGGTTAAAGCCTCTGCCTTTGGCTCAGGTCATGGTCTCAGGGTCCTGGGATCAAGCCCTGCATCAGGCTCTCTGCTCAGCAGGGAGCCTGCTTCCTCCTCTCTCTCTGCCTGCCTCTCTGCCTACTTGTGATCTCTCTCTGTCAAATAAATAAATAAAATCTTAAAAAAAAAAAAGTGACAACTGATGGCGTGTCTACTTGTGTGTGTGTAGGAATTAAAATTTAAAACATCATAAGGTATGTTCTACTTTTAATCACAAGCAGAATCTTGTTTCTAAAGACCTCCTGTTACGACTGCTGCCCTAATTCCAAATCGTGTCACGTTTTGTGTGGTTTAGTAGCCATGGACAGGATCATTTATGAACAAATATCTGTAAGGGCAGCGGATTTCAGATGCTGCATTTCTTGAGCCATGGGCGCATCCCTGATTCCCAGTTGATTGACAGGTTGTCATTCAGGTTTGGGCATTGTCTGGGCAGTGATGTTGCTGTGATTGATTGATAAGGTTGATATCAATCAATTGATATCAATCAATTGATATTGATAAGGTTGATAATGCTTCCTGATGCCCTGGGTCCATGAGGGGCTCCCATGATGAGAATGGAAGAACATCTCCAGGCTTCCCCTGCCCTGCACAAGTGGCAAGTGATGTGTGGTTTAGTGTGGAAGGCTGGTGGACGGGAGTGGACAGAAAGAGCATGCAGCTTGAGAAGGGTATTCTGGTTTTGGTGGTGGTGGTGATTGTGCTGGACTTGTGTAAGGAAAACACCCCAAGAGTTTGGGGAGGTTGGTAACATGTTTTGAAAACACAGCAGGCATGTTTCGAAGTCCAGTGAAACCAAACATACATCTGCATTCTGTTGCGATGAGGTGTTTAATAATTTCGGGCCTGGGCAGTGTGGATCATACCCTTTCTATGTGTGTTTTCTGCTAGTGCCTGGATCAAAGTGGAACAGCTAAAGCCATACCATGCACACAAGGAGGAAATGATAAAGATTAACAAGGGGAAACGATTCCAGCAGGCTGTGGATGCTGTCGAAGAGTTCCTCCGGAGAGCCAAAGGGAAAGACCAGGTGAGAGACTGATCCTTGCTTTATTCCAACATCTGACTGGTTATTTTGGTGTAGTAACTAACAGATTAAATACGGCCCAAACCCAAACCCTATTCTTACGAAATGCCATTGGAAAGAATACTACTTCCAATCTAGGGTATCCGCGTTTTGCCTATCAGCTTGAAACTCCATGAATGCAGCAAACTTCTCTGAAATGGATTGCTGTTCTTAGGCAAGTCTCTTGGACTCAGGAGAAGTATCTCAGCTTTTGAGTACCACACAGGCATTTCTCCCTTTTACATCCTAGAGATTAGGAGTATAGCTTCTTGGGTATATCCACTGCCTGGGTGTAAATCCCACTTCTTAGCTTTGGGACTATAGGCAAGTGATTTGACTTTATCTGCTTCCCCAAACATCAGTGGGAGTGATAGCAGAACCTATTTCGTAGGGTTGTTGTGTGGATAGCACATGTAAAACGCTTCTCCTAGGGTGTGGCTTGTGTAAATGGCGGTGATGGCAGCAGTGGCTGCTGTGGTGGCTATCATTGTTATTATTAAACTTTCAGACGTCGTCCCACAATTCTGCTGATGACAAGAATCGGCGTAATTCCAGTGAGGAGAGAAGTAGGCCAAACTCAGGTGATGAGAAGCGGAAGCTTAGCCTGTCTGAAGGGAAGGTGAAGAAGAACATGGGAGAAGGAAAGAAGAGGGTGTCTTCAGGCTCATCAGAGAGAGGCTCCAAGTCCCCTCTGAAAAGAGCCCAAGAGCAGAGTCCCCGGAAACGGGGTCGGCCCCCAAAGGATGAGAAGGTTTGTTTTACCTCTGCAGCTTCTGGGATTAGTGACTTCCTTTTGTATATGAAAGAGCTGAGCCCTACAGTGTGCCTCAGCTCACTGAGTGGACATAGAAACCTGTGCTAAGCACTGCCCTAAAGAATCCTGCAGACCAGGGGAGGGACACAGCCTGGGTGCACAGGCGTGAAATAGGCTGTAAAGGATCTTGCATTCAGCTAGATGGTCATGGCCGGAGAAGAGTCCACCTGAGCCAGCATGTGAGGGCTGGCACTGGAAGGGGCTTAAGAAGAAAGAGGGGGAAAGCATTCCAGAGACAGAGGGCCCAGCCTGCGTGGGGCTTGATGTTGGCATGGATGTTCTCATTATAGGTGGAGGACGAGGAGGAGAGCAGAGAGCTAAAAGTGAGTAGTCACTGGGTTGTAGAGGGCCTCGAGGTCTACTACTAAAGCAGTATTTACGGTCACAGAGTCAATAGGGGGCCACGAGTGTGTTGAAGCTGGGTGGCAGGGTGGTGGTGTGCTCGAAGCCGTGTGTTAGCATTGGTGGAGGGCAGAGAAGACAGGCTAGAGCCAGTCCGAAAGCTAAACCTAGGTTACGCTTACATGAGGAGCTATCCTGATAGCAAATACTAAAAGGAACTGCCTGAGAGGCACTTCAGAGGAAGGGTTCATAAGATTTAGCAACTGGTTCCAGGGGAAAGGGGGAGGGAGATGATTTCAGGTTTTTGTTTGGGAAATGGTAACACCATTCTTAAGAGCAAGAGTCTGGAGTAGAGTTGGCATACGGAGCAGAAGGACTGGTACTATTTTGACTGTGATGAATTTGAGGTGATGCCAGTGCCTAATGCCAGACTATTAGGGAGCCTTGAACTAATGTCAGGATGGAATGTAGATGTGGGAGGCAGATAGGTAGAAAGTATGTTGGAGACATACAAAGTATATCTGAGGCCCAGTGGCCCTCTACTTTCAGAGAAAGTAAGGAGGGAGCAGTCAAAGGCGGGAGTCTGCTTTGCAGGGGAAACACCCATAGATCAGAGTTGGAAGGGTTTGGAAGAGCCATCACCGTGAAATAAAGGGGAAATAACGTACCTTTCACCTTCCTGAAAAGATACGGGCCAAGTCTTAAAAGCCAAAGGAAGAGAATTTGAGATGGAGGGGATAGTCTGTCAAAACACAGGGAAGGATTGTTAGAGCACAATCAAGGGGACGGGAGCCTGATGGCTGGCAGAAACAGTTGGGTGATAAGGCCGTGATGAAACGCTAGACCGCATCAGATCGTGGCCTGCAAATTCAGACACCAGCGAGACCAGACAGGAAGCAGCAAGACCGGACTCTGCAGCAGGCGGAGAGGCTTGCTGGGGGCCCGCAGCCCTCACCTGCCTCCACGCTGAGAGCAGTAGGGGTGACAGCAGCTGGCGCTCTGGGGAGATCATGCTCTGTCCATGGGGTTCCAGCCAACTTGTGCCAGGTTGTCTGGTTTTTCCTCAAGAGAAGCTGAAAATACAGAGTTTTATGTGAAACACTCCAGTTTTAAATGTTACATGCTAATTCAAAATTTTAAAGTACTTTTAGGTCCAAGGAACATCTCTGGGCCCGATTGAGCCTGTGGGCTGCCACTGAGTGACCACTGTGTTAGAGAAGATCCTTCTCACTGTCAGATGACCCGAGACTGAGAGTAGACAGAGTGACTAGCGGTCGGGACAGCCCTGGCTGACACTGAGCACAGGGAACTGCAGCCAGAGGTGGAGAAGATGGAGAAAACGCCTAGCCGCGGTGCAGAAAGAACTCCTCAGGGGGTGTGATCAGATTTGGTCCAGTTGAACTGATTTCCTGGGGATCCAGAGGCATCTGAGCTGTCAGGTTTTATACTGTTCTCCAAATTCCTATTTTCTACCTTCTGAAGCCATGGATCTCACCAACTCCGTGCTGGCCCAGCAGAGAAACGACATCTTTTTGGAAAAAGGGAGGTGTCCAGGAGAGGTGAGGAGGAGGTCTGAGTCCGAACTGTGACTCCATAACTTTGTGCAACTGTGTGACCTTGGCCGGCTACCTTTGCCTTGGTTTCGTTTCCTCGTCTGATCACTGGAAATAGTAGTGATACCTGTCTCTCTTGTTTGTTGTGATAATTAAACGAGTAACGAGCAGAGCACCAAGAACAGTGAGCCACGAACTATGCGTCTGATGAATGGCTTTACATGTGTCAGTGTCTGGCGGTAGCCCGTTGTGCAGCGAGAGCGTAGTGGTTTTAGTGTAACCCGAGGCCACCACTGGACTCTCTGCAGGGACTCTTCTCACGGGCTCCCAGAGAAAAGCAGTTTGCCCTTGAGTCTGAATTATTAATTAGGGGGTAGTAACATTTCTGCTGCTGTTCTTGGAGCGAGGTCCTCAGCCGAGACGTCTACTTGCTATTTACCCTCAGCACAGCCCTTTGTGCAGTCTCCTTGCTTGGCCCGGCCTCTAGTGAAGGATTTGTTAGCTGGAAAGGAAGGAGCGTAGCTAGTGGTGCAGGGCAGGCACAGCCATTTCGGTTCAGACAGTTGGTTTTAATTAAGCACCTTCAGACATGTAGGGAATCTGGGCTTGGAATTTTGGTGCATCTTCTGCTCTCTGTGCTCTAAAAAGAGTGTGTGTTGCTACGGTAATTGTCAATTGGCTGTCAGGCTTCTTTCTGAAACAGCAGTAGCCTAGGCTGATACCTGGGCAAAGCCCCAGATGATCGCCATTTGGAGCCGTAATCCCCTGTCCCTTGAGGATCAGTGGGAAAGGCTGACCTTTTGACGGAGAAGTGTCAGTTCCATGCAAACAGGGAAAGGCTGGGTTCGTGCGACTCCAGTGTGAGAGGTGTGCTTTCATCCTCTCTCAGGGGCTCTCGTCTCCAAGTCCTGCGCAGGAAAGAAGAACTGCAGCTCTAGTCGGCACGCCGCACCCTGGCAGCCCGCAGCCGCCAGGGCTCTGTCTCTCCCCAGGTCCCGGAGTGCTGCAGAGGCTGATGGTTTGGGAGCTGAAGCCTTCTGCTGCTGCCAGATGGAAAGCCAGTGCTCTCCACCCCACTCTCCTTCTGTCCTGAGACCTGAAGCAGGTCACTAGAGCTGTGCTGCCCCTAGCCACAGGGGACAGATACAGAATATGTCCATCGTGGCAGGACGTTCTTTGGGGCAGTACTGCATTAGGCCCCCTTTTCCCCCAGAGATCTTTATTCAGCACCTGTGGATGGAGCCACTCCACCAGAAGCCAGATGTCTAGTGATTCAGCCGCATGATACTTTGACAAGGCCCCTCCCATGTTCACTTCTTCAGTAAATAATGAAACATCTCGTCAGTGCCAGGCATGGCTCCCACCATGGGATACAGAGTGAACAAAATTGGCAAAGGTCTTGCTTTCATAGAACTCACTGATAATAACATCAGTATCATGTTCTAATGGGGGAAGATACAGAGGGGTCAGGGAAAGCACCCCGATAAGGTGACATATTTGTGGAGACCTCAAGTGAGCATGTGAGCCAAGTAGATCACTGTTGGAAGAGCGTTCCCAGTAGTGCGAAGGCACTGAGGCAGGCGTATGCCTGGTGTGTTTGGGGAATGGCTGGAGGGCCAAGGGTTAGTGCTAGTGAGTTGGAGAGTGGTGAGGGGGAAGAAAATATAATAGGACATGAATTCGGAGAGTAGGATGGAGTGAAGGTTGTAGAACTTGTAGTGCCCCATAGGCCATGATATTCTAGCCTTTAGCCTGACTATGAGACAGGAAGCCAGTTGTAGGCAGAGAAGTGGTAGCTGCTGTGTACAGTCTAGACTGCAGTGTTCCAGAACAGAAGCGGGGGGATCCCTTTTGCTACAGCCCAAGTGACAGGTGATGGCAGCCTAGCTTGAATGTTAGCAGTGGGGTGGCAAAAGGGGTTCCCAGATCAGCAGTCGTAAAACCATAATCATTGCCAGCAGGAAAGAGGAGGGTGGAATCAAGATGAACCGCAAAGATCTCAGCCTGGTCGAATGCAGCTACTTTTCTAAGACTGCGAAGACAATGGAAGAAGCCATTTGGGCAGGGAAATCCAGGGTTCAGAGTGGGGCATGTCAAGATTCCCATGAGATACCAAGTAGAAATGTCAGAAGGGACACTGTGGCTGGAAGATCCCACTTGCGGAAAGGGGGTGTGAGGTAAACTTGGTGGAGGGGACAAGAGCACAGCAGGTGTAAGGCTGAAGCAGCTCGCTGTTCAGGATGGGTATGGGCCAGGCCCTTGGTGAGGAGGTGCGCCCCGTTCTACTGGGTCCTGCCCTGGCATCAGCCTGGAGAGCAAGTGGGGCTCTTGGTTCCCAGCTGCTCTGAGTTGGAAGTCTAGCTTTGTCACTTAGTAGCTAAAACACTGGGCACATTTCTTCATTGGCACCATGTGGCTTTCTTAGTGTTTTTTGAGGTCTTCTCTGAAGAGGGTACTGTTCTCTTAATGTTCGTTATTGGCCATAAGGACACTTCACTGTGATTTGCTGACAACACTGCACACCACAGTTGGGCTTTCCAGAGATACCTGTCCTTGTGAAACTTGGGCACAAGAAGACAATTTGTTATTTCAAGAACAGAGAAGAAACCCTTGTTCCCTGTTAATGAAAACTTGCCTGGTTTCCCCCCGATGGGCAGTCAGAACCATGCCTGGGGACTGAGACTGGAGTTGGGGTTCTTTTAATGTGGAATGTGACTGAAGGAAGCGGAGCAGTAAAGAGGTGCTCCCCGATTTGGCGCAGGAAGACCTCTCCTACTGAGGTGGCCTCAGTGTCTTGACCATCTGCCTTTCCTTCTGTAGGATCTCACCATCCCTGAGTCTAGTACCGTGAAGGGGGTGATGGCTGGACCGATGGCCGCGTTTAAATGGCAGCCGACTGTGAGCGAGGTAACAAGCTCTCCCGCAGGCCAGGATAAGCCCAGCCTCCAAGCTGGTTTCCTGGCCTGTGTGAGGCGCTTTTCCTTTCCCCATTTTTTAAATTGCAAAACAGTACTGAGGTGTACGAGGGGGAAAATTGCACGTCTCCACCCTCAGGGGTGCTCAAGTTCAATGTAACTTCTTCTAGACCTTTTGGTAGACGCCCCACTCACCCATCATTTATAGGATTATATACCCACATGGGGTTTCTACTCTTGGGAATAGGGTTGGTTTTCACAAATGTGGGATTGGCCCACACATTTTTTTCACTTAATGCTTTATACACACCTTTCACTATTCACATATACAACTCTGCTGTTCAGTAGCCCCTTGTAGTGGATGCCCCAGTCCCCTGTTAAGCCTAACTGTGAAAGCCTTCATTGTCCTCCATTTCTGTTTATATTCGTCCTCCATGAGACGAGACATTCAAGGGTCTGACACCAGATACAGTAGGTAAAACCCTAAGATCAGGAGTCATGAGAATTGATTTGGCCTCCCCTGCTCAATTATCCAGGACTGGTAAATGCTGCATTTTAAAAACACCAATATTCAGGACCCCTGGGTGGCTCAGTTGGTTAAGCATCTGCCTTCCGCTCAGGTCATGATCTGGAGTCCCGGTATCGAGTCCCACATCAGGCTTCCAGCTCCATGGGGAGTCTGCTTCTCCCTCTGACCTTCTCCCTCTCATGCTCTCTCTCACTCACTCTCTCTCAAATAAATGAATAAAATCTTTAAAAAAATACCGGTATTCCTCTTAACTATTTTCCTACACTGTTACTGGAATAATTTTTAGGCCAACCTGACAGAATTCTGTCTTCTCTTCCACTTGTAGCCAGTTTCCCTGTAGGTAGAGCAGGGATCAATCATAAAAGGCTTAGACCAACAACGGGAAAGCGCTTCCAGGCAGAGTCAAGACTGGCTGCCAGGGGTGTTTAGCCAGAGGAGAGTCAGTTACCAGGCAGCAGGCAAGGTGACCTCTGGTGGAAGTTAAGTTGTTTTATTCAATCATTTTCTGGTTTCAGCCTGTGAAAGATGCAGACCCTCATTTCCATCATTTCCTGCTCAGCCAAACTGAGAAGGTGAGTTGGTCTTTGACATTCTTGATCCTTGGTCAGGGGCTGGCCTGAGGGGAGAAGGTGGCTCCATGGACCTCACCCCACTGGTCTGTAAAGTGAGGCTCTGCTTCTACCGCTGCGCGGAGCAGCAAAATAAGAAGTCACATGGAGGCCCACTTGTGAATCAGGTGTTGTTACGTTTTAAAGTAACCCCCCCCCCCAAAGAAGCATTTAAGACTCAGCAGCTGTGGGTGCGTCTGCCTTTGGCTTGGGTCATGATCCCAGGGTCCTGGGATAGAGTCCTACATGGGGCTCCTGCTCCTCGGGGAGCCTGCTTCTCCCTCTCGCACTCCCCTTGCTTGTGTTTCCTCTCTCGCTGTGTCTCTCTCTGTCAAAAAAAATAAAATCTTAAAAAAATAAAAGAAAAAAAGACTCAGCAGCTGTGTGATTGAGACATTTGTGGTTGCCTTTGGAGTCTGGGGCAGAAGCCAGACCCTGTGAGCTTCAGCACTCATGAGGTAGCCCGTGCTGTTTGGTGGATGCAGTCTCGGGCTTGCTGTGCAGGCAGCCTCTCTGAACCGTCAGCTTGTGGAGGCAAGGCTTCTCAGTATCTGCAAGGCCGTGAGTTAGGCTGAACCTTGATATAGGACCTGATAGGCTATGGCTTTGGAGTTGGACAGATCTGGGTTGCGAGCCCAGTTGCACTGACTACCTTTGTAATTTTGAGTGTATGACTTTCTGATCCTTAATGTCATCATCGGCAAAAGAAACTTGCAGAGTTGCCTAGATATTTGAGTGAGATAGTGTGTATTCCATTTCTGATGTGTCCTTTGGAGTTCAGTAAAGTTGAACAGCAAATAGGTTTTCAGTGTTAACACCACACTTTAGGCCTAATCTCTTAGGGAAATTATAATGAAGACCAGTTAAGTGTTCAGTTTAATACATGGTCTTTTTTCCTCCTTTATTAGCCAGCTGTCTGTTACCAGGCAATCACAAAGAAGTTGAAAATATGTGAAGAGGTACGTAGGTTCCACGCCTCCCTATTTTTCTCTTCCACTGGGGCCTTTGCCGTGGGCAGACTGACCTGATGAGTTGTGCTTCCTTTCCCTAGGAAACTGGGTCCACCTCCATCCAGGCAGCAGACAGCACGGCCGTGAATGGCAGCATCACACCCACAGACAAAAAGTAGGACCTTTGATGAAAAGGCTTCTTGTGGTTCTAGTTCTATTAGGGAATAGGGGATAACCCCAAGGGGCTTCCTTAAGGGTTGTATCCCAGCCATTGCTGGGATTGAATGGAGAGAGAGAGGGAAAGGCGTAATTTTTAATGAGTTGCCTGGGAGTAATTTGACCTGCAGGCGACCAAGGTCCTATAAGTACATGGTGGGGTTGCCTTCATAGCACACTGGTGAGTCTTGGAGCTGGAGGAACACTCAGTTTGGTGGTTCTCAGACTTTCCCCTAACTCAGAATCAGCTGGAAGGCCACATGTCAAGCATCCACTGCTTGGCCCTATCCCACCCCACCCCCAGGGTTTCTCAGTCAGTAGTTCTAGGGTAGATGCGGAGGGTTGGTATCTTGGACACCTTCCAGGGTGTGCTGCTGCTGCCAGTCAAAAGACCACATTTTGAGAACCACTGGCTTAGTAGAACAGTGATGAAGACCCTGAAACTGGCTGTGGTGGGGGCGGGTGGCTGGTGAGAGGTGAATCACCATCATCTCGCCTTCCCCAGCTCTCCCTGCTGTTGCCACTGGGTCCTTCCGCATACCTGCCAGCAGCTCTCTGGGGTGAGCCTGGACTGTGGTCCGCACGTCCCTGCCTTTCCTCTGGCGGTATTTGCAGTCGTGTGTATAAAAGTGCTAAGATGGGGCACCCTCCTGAGTGCCAGGTCTGAATTCTCCATGCGTATCTCCTGTACAGTTCTTTCTCAGAGTGAAAACAGTACACCTTTTACTTTATTCGTAATTTTTTGTGCTGATGAAATCCCTGATTCTACCGGTTATTTTGGGTGAACAGCCCTGGGTAGAGTGGAAAAAGCAAAGGCATGCTCTATGCTAATGAAAGGGGAGATGGATGTCACCTACTGACTTAAGGAGGACTGTATAGTCTTAAAAAGAAAAAAAAAAAAAGTGAGGCTGAGGCCAGAGTCCAGTGCTTTCACCTAAGACCTTTGTTGCCCCATTAGTCAAACCATTTTTGGACGTGAATGTGAAGCTTACTAAAAAGCGAAGCAACTGTGTGGTGTACTAGGCGTACTGGAACACCAGGAAAAGAGAATTAGTCTGCCATGACGTCGAGTCATAGGGCAAGCTTCCCCTACCCAGACAAATGTGCGCGACAGAAGATCTCCGGGACTTGAGCCTTGGCTGCAGACTCAGTGGGCAAGGGTGCCATGTGGTGAGGAAGGTGGTGGGCTCTCTCCATCCTTGGAGTCAGGCTAGGACAGAGAGCACGTGGGAGTTCATATTCCACCGGGGATGGGGGGAGACCGTTTCAGTACAAGAGCCAGTTTGCAGGGGTAGCGGCGAACGTGAGCCCCGGAGACCAAGAATACTAAAAGGGCAACTCAGGAGAAGGCGGACAGGCTGCAGAGAGGGTCTGGAGCTGAGAGAAACCCAACTGAAACCACAGCACCACGTAATAAGGAATGAAGGAAGAGGCATTGGTTAGCTCTATCCCATGCAAGGAGTGAAGCGCAGGAGCGAGAAAGAGACCTCTGGGCAACATAAAATCCGTAAGCGCGCATAGAAATAGCAGTGGTAGCTAACAGCCCCTAAGTACTCAGCGTTGCGGGAGGAAGCAGGCTGCAGGAAGCGAAGTTTAAGCAGAACTTGCCGTCCGCCTGCGCTCAGTCCCCCAGGACGAGCATGGGCTGCATTAGAGGGGCCGGGTGGGGAGCCGCGGACGGGCCAGCGCAGAGCAGTCCCAGACAGGTTCGGGAGAAGGCAGGCATAGGGAGAATGCACGTTCTGGAGAAGATTGGCTCCAGGCTTTGAAAAGGGTCAGTGCCCGTCTCTGCTAACAGCAGGAACACCACAAAGGTAGTGTCGGGTGTCGAGCTGGGGAGGGAGGTGAAGACTGCGATCCCGATCCCTGCAGTTGAGAAGTTGGCTGGCTCTGATCACGTTGCTTCAGTTCCTTGTCACAGATTCTGATGTGCTTTAAAATGACATCCGAAAGCCTGGCGTTCAGGGCGGCTGACCAGGAAGCCGCTGCAAGAGTTGAAGGCAAATGCCTGCTTTCTCGCTGTGCGGGAATCATGGGCTCAGACGCTCTAGCAGAGCAGTAAGGGAACAAGTTGGAAGACTTGCCCTAAACCATATGAGGCACACTTCTTTCTGTGGCAGGCAAGGATTTAGAGAAGCCCGTCTAGATTGAGGGACACTCTGAAACAACGGCATGAGGAGAAAAGACCCAACGTGCACACATTGCTGCTGGCTCTGCAGAGGCGCTGTGGGCCGCTGAGTGAGCTTTCTGGTGCGTGAGGCCCCACCCTGAGCCCGTCCGTGTCTCTCTCTTTCAGGATAGGATTTTTGGGCCTTGGCCTCATGGGAAGTGGCATCGTCTCCAACTTGCTAAAGATGGGTCACACAGTGACTGTCTGGAACCGGACTGCAGAAAAAGTAAGTATTCATGGGGGTGCTTGTCAGGCGGGGTAGGATAACACCTTGACCCTTGGAGTTGGAGTGGCTTAAGGATAGGGATCTTCCTGTTGTCTCCGCTCAGCGTTCTGCACAGGTGGAGTGGGAGAAACCAAGCTCTTAGTTCAGGCAGATAAAGCTGTAGGTATATGAGCTTAAGAGGTTTGTTTTTTTTGTGTTTTGTTGTTTTTGTTTTTTTGTTTTTAGTTTCAAATTTTTATTTAAATTATTGCTAGTTGGGGCTCCTGGGTGGCTCAGTGGGTTAAGCCTCTGCCTCCGGTTCAGGTCATGATCTCAGGGTCCTGGGATTGAGCTCCACATTGGGCTCTCGGCTCAGCAGGGAGCCTGCTTCCCCCTCTCTCTCTGCCTGCCTCTCTGCCTACTTGTGATGTCTGTCAAATAAATAAATAAAATCTTAAAATAAAATAAATTCTTGTTGATTAACATGCGTGGTAGAAATTGGTTTCAGGCATAGAATTTAGTGATTCGTCACTTGGAACATCATCCAGTGTTACATACTGTGTATATGTCCTCACAGGTGTCCTCCTTGATAACCCATCACCCATTTAGCCCATCCCCTACCCACTGCCTTCCATCAGCTCTTTGTTTGTTCTCTATAGTTAAGAATCTTTAAGCTTTGGGGCCCCTGGGTGGCTCAGATGGTTAAGTGTCTGCCTGCAGCTCAGGTCATGATCCCAGGATCCTGGGATTGAGCCCCACCTTGGGCTCCCTGCTCACCAGAGTCTGCTTTCCCCTCTGCCTCTCTCCCCTGCTTATGCTCTCTCTCTCAAATGAATAAATAAAATCTTTAAAAAAAAAAAAAAGGAATCTTTAAGCTTTGGATGTTATTATAAAAAGTAAACATTTAAAAACCCTCGGATATAAAATGAAGTGAAAATTCTCCCTTTCCTGCCATTACCTGAGGTAGCTCAGGTCAGATGTTTGTATCCTTTTTTGCACATGAAAATATACACGCGTGTGTGTATTGGTAGCTCACTGATAGTGAGTGCATAGAGATAGATCTGCTTCTTCCTTTTTAATGGCTGCACTGTGTTCTCTTACTGGGATTGTATTAACAGCACCGTACAGTCGAACATTCTGCAGTGCTGGAAACGTCCATGCCTGTACTGTACAGCATGATAGCCACTAGCCACTGTGGCTCATCAGCACTTGAAACATGGCTAGTATGGTGGAAGAATTGAATTTTTAATTTATTTCACTTAAACGTAAATAGCCCTCCATGGCAAGTGCCCACCAAAGTGGACAGGACAGGTTTAGAAGTTCTTAACCTAAAGTGGTGGTCCACCACTTCAAGGGTCTGTGCATTCCCTGAAATGGAATTCCAAGTGCAAATGTGCACCTTTTGTAAGGGAGAGGGGCCATGGCTCCTCCCATCACGTTCCTATCCGAGAAAAGGTGAAGAACGGTAGTCGGAGTACCGAGAAACTAAAGCCCTGTAGTGACCAGGAGCACACGAAGAGAGAGCGAGGAAGGACCAGCCTGTTGGGGGGCAGGTGTGGCTGAGTATGTGTTTACATAGTGACTGAGCAAGCGCCCTCGTGGAGCTAGATGCAGCTGAAAGGTTGGTTGCTGAAGGAGGTGTCAGAGCTGATGGGTTTGAATGAAGAGAAATGTCTTGGCAAGGTAAAAAAAAATAATAATAATTCACTCTAATCAAACAAAGGCCTTTTCAAAAATAACAGGGAACTGGTTGGAGAGTCAAGAGGGTTGGGGAAAAGGCACTGAAAGCTGTGCTAAAAGGTTTGGGCTTCCCCTGCTGGGCATTGGGTACCTAAGGCAGAAGTCAGAGGGTTTCCCTTGTAAGTACATTCACTTTTGATAGAGGTGCCTCAGGTCACCCTGTATCTGGATTGAAAAACCTAAATATTATATAAACATGGCCGTTCTGTCTGAATTAATTTATGGGAAAGCAGGAGAGCAAAGCAGTTACGAACCTTGGTTTGGAATCAGACCTAAATCCAAGTCACAGCTGTCTCGCTCACCCTCCCCAGCAAGATTGGTTATCTTCCTAAGCCTCAGTCCTCATCTGTAAAATGATGGCTGCAAAAGATTAGGGGTGCCTGGGTGGGCATTCGGTTAAGCATCTGACTCTTGGTTTCAGCTCAGGTCATAATCTCAGGGTCCTGGGATTGACCCCCACGTTGAGCTCCATGCTCAGCATGGAGTCTGCATTTTGGCTCAGGTCATGAACTCAGGGTCATGAGATCGAGCCCCACGTCAGGCTCTCCACTTGGCATGGAGTTTGCTCAAGATTCTCTCTCCCCCTCTCCCTCTGCAGACCCCCGCCACTCACATTCACTCTCGCACTCTCTCTCTGAAGGGAAAAAAAAAAAGCCATGTAAATCTTCGACAATCCCTGTGTAATTTTTCTTTTAAAGGATCTTGATTAAAAATTGTTCCCTGGCATAGTAAATGGGAAACATATTTTCACTTTTTCAGAAAAGAGTAATGCGATTTCTCCTAAGCAAAGTTTAAAATGTAAAGCTGTATAGTAAAGGCTAAGATGCATGCGTAGCGTAATAAAGACACACACCCGTCAGCTAGACCGGACAGCTAGGACTTTGTCTGATAGAGGCAGCTCACTGCGATCAGTGAGATAGAAGAAAGGCCAGTCAGTAAGCTCTATTCAGAACAACCGGTTAGAAAGTTGAGGAAGTAATGATCTCACTTCATACCCACTACTAAAGTAAATTCCACGTAGATTGAGAGGGACAACTCAAAGTGCTTATAGCAAAGATGATAGAGAAAAGGTAATATATTGATTTTATTAAATATATTGATAACTTCAAAATAAAAACTACCTCACAAAAGAAACAGCAAACAAAGGTATTAAATTTAGAAGGTTCAGTAATGAATAGTGATCAAAATATATCAAAAAGTTGCTGTTGTGGGCTGGTTAAATCATCAAGTAGGACAAAATTTTTGTGTATTTGTGGATGCTTGTTTGTTGTTTTTATTTTTTTTTAATTTTTTAAAAAGATTTTATTTATTTATTTGGCAGAGACACACCAAAAGAGGGAACACGAGCAAGGGGAGTGGGAGAGGGAGAAGCAGGCTTCCCGCAAGTGGGGAGCCCAGTGCAGGACCCGATCCCAGAACCCCAACATCATGACCTGAGCTGAAGGCAGATGCTTAATGACTGAATCACCCAAGCACCCCTTGTTTGTTGTTTCTAAAGTTTGTACTGATAGTGGTTTGAGACCTTGCTGATGATCTTTATAAATTCACAGCTCCAACGGAAAGCCATTTGTCTACATTTATTAAGAACTTTAAAGCTGTTTGGAGCCTGTTCTATTCTGCTTTCCGAAACCTAAATTCAAAACATACAGGAAAGGTATTGTACGTGAAGATATTTGTTGGGGTCATTTATAATTAAAAGCAGGCTACATAACTAACTGCAGGAGAGCTATTAGGTACACTCAGGTCTATCTCAGTGGAATATTCTGCAGCCATCTATTATAAAAGACTACAGTATGTATAAATACATAGCACACACAGTATTGAGAGTTGGATACAAAATAGTAGGTTCACTTTATTCTAATTACCTTTTTAAATGCCTTAGAAAAGGAAATAACACTGAAATATTAATGATGTTTTGCTATGAGATATTCTGGGTAATTTTAATTCTCAAGGAAGAAAAGTTCATGCTTTTAGACTCCCAGAAACATCTTGGTAAGAGCAGCAGCTTCCCAGCCCCAGCCCTGCTTCCCCAGCACAATGTGGATAGCCTGGGACACTGCGCACGTTTTGCCACAGCCAAGATAGCCACAGAGGGCTGCAAACAGGTGGTGTTTGCATCCTGTTCTTCAAACAGGAAACCTTCAGCAGACACTTGTTTTATGCTTACTGTGAAGTAGAACATCATTCTAAGCACCAGGTATGCAAACACAAGACAGTCCTTAAGGAGCCCCATCCACTTCTCTTAGAAAGGCAGACCACCGCCTCTGGTGTCCCTGGCTCCTAGCCTCAGCCTTCTGCCTTGGGAGGCCAGCTCGGAGGACTGCGCAGCGTGTCTCTGGCCTAGCTGGTGTGTTTGTTGTGCACTGCCTGCAGCTCACATTAGGATCTGTGACTTTTGCAGTGTGATTTGTTCATCCAGGAGGGGGCCCGCCTAGGAAGAACCCCCGCTGAAGTCGTTTCAACTTGTGACATCACCTTTGCCTGCGTGTCCGATCCAAAGGCAGCCAAGGACGTAAGGATCCCCTCCCTCCCCTCAGTGTCTCAGGTGGTGGCCAGGAAAGCTGGCTGGCCTCCCTGCCTTCTCCCCTGCCCATGAGTGAGTGTCTGTAGCATGTGGGAGGGTTGTATTTCCCATCTGGGGCCATCCCCCATCGTGAAAGTTACCTGCATAAATTCAATACAGACATCCTTTAATTCAGAACAAAGAAAGAAAATAACTAGGGTCTCTGTGATCTATGCCGGCTGTCCTCATGTAGTCTTATTTTGTGTACCTGGCAAGATCCTATGTTTAGCTGTGACTGTATCTGCATGTTTTATAAGTTCAAGTACAGTAATCATCTTGTTAAATTGGTAACTAGTTTAATCCAAGTAAATCCAAAGAAGCCCAAAAAAATACTGAGGTTATTATTTAAATGGGAGATTTTTAGTGAGAAGGAACATGCGTGTATTGTTTTGAAGATAAACGGGAATAAAGTAGAGGTATTTTTCTCCCTCAGGCTTATTTACTTGCTACCCCCTTGCAGCCTTAATACCTCCTAATTAGGAAGTGAGCCAAAAAAGTAACAAGATTCTGACTTTAGGTCTGAGGGGCTCCTGGGCGTCTGGCTGGGAGCCTGGGCTATTGCTTTTCCTTTGTGTCCCCACAGCTGGTGCTGGGCCCCAGTGGTGTGCTGCAGGGGATCCGCCCCGGGAAGTGCTACGTGGACATGTCAACAGTGGATGCTGACACAGTCACCGAGCTGGCCCAGGTAGCGGCCTCGTTCATGCTGGCCCTCCAGCATCCTTGGCAGTTGGAGCCCAAGACTCAGGCTGATTGATTATGCCTGAGTGAGCAACTTGGTTACTCTAGAAACCAAGCCAGGAGAGGAGGAGAGGCTTGTAGCCTTGGAACTAGCCTGTCTTCACTTTCTGCTTTCCAAGCCACAGCTAATCCGAACAGCCGTGAGAGGAGAGGTGCTGCTGGGATGGGCATTAGGTCGTGTAGCCGCCAGCCCCACAATGGGAAGCAGTGCAGGCTTCCGGCAGGGCCTTTTTGGTTTAAGCGGTCGTCTACAGTTGTCCCCAACAGTATTCTCCCCGCCTGAGCTCCTGGGCCGAGTGAGAGGGCGGTGACTTCTGGCCCCTGTATGTTCTGAGAGGGGCTGAAGCAGGGAAGGGCAGTGTCTGGAGGAGGTGTGCTCAGCCAAGCCATCGGCATGGTCACGCTTGGTCATTGCAGGAAATTCGGAGTCAGTGGGAGTCTCTGGGGAGACCCCTCTTCTCTGTGTCTGCATGAAATTCAGACACCTGTTTGGGGGCTCAGTGTGGAGGGCCAGGTGTTTCCACTTGAAATACCAGTGAGAGGCAAGGCCTTCAGAAGCTGTGACTTTCCTTTCTAGGTGATTGTGTCCAGGGGGGGCCGCTTTCTGGAAGCCCCAGTCTCAGGGAATCAGCAGCTGTCTAATGATGGGATGTTGGTGATCTTAGCAGCCGGAGACAGGGGCTTGTATGAGGACTGCAGCAGCTGCTTCCAGGCAATGGGAAAGACCTCCTTCTTTCTAGGTAACACGCCTGCCCACCTGTCGGGCCACTGCAGGCCCGGAGGCTGGGTGGGCCACATCCCCTCTAGACTGCACTGATGACTGCGTCAATCCCGCACGGCCTCTCTGCCTGGGGCCCCCGTGGGAAGGTTTCCTTTGACTTGCACAGTCAGTGCCTGGAAGGAGGAAGAGCCCGAAGGGTCAGAGCCAGTTCTGTCAGGGGCAGGTGAATGGGGCCTCCCCTGGGTGTAGAGGTGGGTCCGAGCAGGGATGAGGGTGGGCAGAAAGTCCCTTCCCTCGGAATTCTTGGAAAGTGACCGTGATTCTCTGCCCTGGCCAGGTGAGGTTGGAAATGCTGCCAAGATGATGCTGATTGTGAACATGGTACAGGGAAGCTTCATGGCCACCATCGCTGAGGGGTTAACCCTGGCCCAAGTGACAGGCCAGTCCCAGCAGACACTCTTGGACATCCTCAATCAGGGACAGTTGGCCAGCATCTTCCTGGACCAGAAGTGCCAAAGTGAGTTGCCTTTGGCCTCTCTTCCTGCATTTTAGTTGTGATTGGAGTTGAGAAACTGAGTCAGGTTGCTGTCACAGAGCATTTTCTTCTTCAAGGGCTGACCAGTGTGAAAGAGGCACCCTCTCTGGTCAGTCCATGCCCTCCATGCCCTCTGTCAGAGGGATCCAGAGACATGGCAGATGGGATTTGGGGGTACTGGCTGGGGACTGGTTTCTTCATTGTCCAAGAGGGAAGAAATGCTAGATGTTGAGCCCTGGTGGTCCAGCAGATAGTTTCTTAATTTGGGTCCATTTAATTCTTCTGTTATGTGGCTTTCCCTCCTCAGATATCCTGCAAGGGAACTTTAAGCCCGATTTCTACCTGAAGTACATTCAGAAGGATCTCCGCTTAGCCATTGCCCTGGGGGATGCCGTCAACCATCCTACTCCTATGGCAGCTGCGGCCAATGAGGTAACTGCAAGAGGCCCGATCTGACAGCCTTCCCTTTGCTTTTAGGCTTCCTCCCCTCTCTTTGCTTTGTGTCTCTTTGTGTCTCACCTCTTGAATGGAAGCTCAGGTCACTGATTCTAGACAGGAGCATTTAAAAGCATACATTCCCTTCTGAGCCCTGCTTACTTGTAACCCTTGTGATTTCATTGACCCGCGGATTCCTTAAAAGTGCATCAGTCAGATAATTGGAGTTGTCCTGCGAATCTAACAGTTATTGATTACTGATGTATCTCTATTGTGGTTAAAAAACAGATCCTGTGTGATTTTTAACTCTAAATTTATTGAGACTTGTTTTGCGGCCCAGCAGATGGTCTGTCTTGGTGGGCGTACCAGAACAAGACTGTTCTCTACTTGTTGGGTGCTGTGTTCTGCCGATAATCAGTTAGGTCGAGGTTAGTTAGTGGTTTTTCAGATCATCTTTATTGGCCTTTTTCTCTGGTTCTTTTGGTTGCTGAAAGAGAGATATTAAAATCTCCATCTATGATTGTAGCATTGTCTATTTTTCCCTTTAATTCTGTTATCTTTGAAACTATTGTGTTTGGGTTTTTAGCCATTTGTGATGGTCGTGTCTTCTGATGAATTTGGCCTTTAATTATTATGGAATGTCCCTCCTGACCTTTGTCTTGAGGCCTATTGCCTGGTTTTACCATAGCTGCTGCTGTGTACATGCTATATCTTTTTTTCATTCATTGACTTTCAACTTGTGTCTTTATATTTAAATGGTATCCTCAGTGTAGAGCCTGTCCGTGGGGTCTGCATGTGTATGCATTCTGACAGTATCTGCCTGCTAACTGGAGTGGTTTGGTCATTAACATTTGTTTGAGTGACAACACAGCACCTACATATGCACTTCCTGAAAACAGTTGGGTTGGGGAGGGGGTTATTTATTTGTTTAAATAAGTTTAAGTAATCTGTATACCTGATGTGGGGCTCGAACTCATGACCCTGAGATCAGGAGTTGGGTGCTGTACCACCTGAGCCAGCCAGGGGCCCCAGAAAGAGTTGTTGAGAAGGTTGTCTTCCTCAGCCTGACAGAAGGGACGCCTTAAAAAAGCTGAGCAGTATTTCATTACTGTAGAGTTACAATCAAAACCGTATTTTGTATAAAACACAAAACACATAAATTGATTTATTTTAGAGGCTGTATCTTCTAGGAACTTTAAGAGGATACACATTCGATTCAAGTTAAATAGAAGTCTCAAGTGGCTTGTTCCAGTGGAGAAGTAAAGAAACACAGTTGTGCTTTTTGCAGACGTGGCCTTTCATAATGTGTAATCAGTCTCCTGTCCCTTCCTTGTCTGCCTGAGCATTTCAGGGAACTCACTTCACCTTTTTAGGTTGCAGTACAGTTTCAGGTTCCTCCTGTTTGTTTTGCCTTGGATTCTCTCTTAGCAGTGGACTTCTCTGTGTATTTTATAGAATTTTTTCGGTCGATTGTCTTTAACTAAAGTTACTTCGGAAGGGATCTGCGTGTGGCTTGTGTTGGCAGTGTGCTCCGTGATTTCTGACCTGCCTCTGCCGGGGCTCTACAGGACTCATTGGCTTGAAAACAGACATTTTGGTTAATTTCTCAGGGGAGCGTGGTGCTTTCTGGAGGGTGTGAATTTAGGTTCCTCACTGGAGCCCAGCGTTCAGGATCTTAAGGTTCACCCGTCCATTCACATGTAGTCTTTGTCTTAAAGTCTGTTGATGTGTGGTTGGATTTAGAGCTACCATTTGATTGCTCTTTGTCCTTTCTGACTTTTGTCTATCCCTCCTTTTTTATCGCCTTTTGGATTATATGACTGTTTTTAAAATTCCATTTTCTCTGTTGGCTCTTTAATAATGCCTTGTTTCTCTTTTATCTTTGGCCTAGAGATTGCAGTGTGCAAGGATGCGCAACACCCTTAACTTCATGGCCCACTTAGAGTTAATATTATACCTGTTCACATAAAATGTAGATCCATTTCCCTCACCTGCCCTCCCTCCTCCTTTAAGGCAAGGTTTCTTCACCTGGGCACTGTCGCCGTTTGGTTGTGGGAGCGGCCCTGTGCGTTTCAGGATATTCAGCAGCATCCCTGTCCTCTAAGCACTAGAAGCCCGTGGTGCCCTCTCAGTTGGGAAGAGGTCTGTAGGCACTACCATGTGTCCCGTGGGGCAAAATAACCCCAGGTTGAGATGCCCTGCTTTATTATTTTTTTAAGGTTTTATTTATTCATTTTGCGAGAGAGTGGGAGCAGGCACACACACGTGCATGAGTTGGGAGGGGCAAAGGGAAAGGGACAAGCAGACTTGACACCGAGTGTGGACCCTGACGTGGGGGCCTGATCCCACACCCCAGTGATCATGACCTGAGCTAAAATCAAGAGTCGGCCGCTCTGAGACACTAACTCAGGCACCCAGGCGCCCCAAGAGAACCCCTGCTTTGGGGAATAGATGTCCTGTGTGTTACATCTGCCTTTGTTCTAAACCTACCAGACAATGTTGGAATGTTTTAAGTGGTCGTATGTATTTTTTTTAATTAAAAGAAAAAATAATTTTATATTTCTCTAATTTACCATTTCCAGTGCTCTCCATTCTTTTCTGAAGATTTGAATTTCTCTCTGGTATTGTTCCCTTTCAACTGGAAGAACTTGCTTCAGCATTCCCTGTAATGCAGGTCTGCTGGCAACGATTTGTTTTCTTTTCTCTGAAACGGTCTTTATTTAGCCTTCATTTTGAGCTAACAGCTATACCTGAGCTATAATGGACACTCAATTATCGTGGCTTCAACTGGACTATGTTTTAAAAAAAAGACAAAGATGCAGCTATATGGGAGGAACCTTGTGGCCAACTGCATTTCCTCAGTGTGCCTGGACGCCACACTGCCCTGCTTGAATGGCTTTTTAATTCTCTTCATGCTCGTTCGTAGTACTCACCTAGTGGCTCTGGAGTGGCTGTCAGCGGCCAAGCACTGTTCTAGGCTCTGGGGACATGGTGAGGGGCCGCCCGTTCCCTTCCTTGTGGAGCTTAACGTTTTAATGGAAGGAGGCACAAGATAAGCAGACAGGTATTTAAACAAGAATTCTCTGAAGGTCAGAAGTACGAATAAAATAGTAAGATAAGGTGACAGGATAAAGTGGTACAGCCGCTGCTGTATATGCTATATAGACTGGTCAGGGAAGGCCTTGGAGCTGACTGGGAAGGAGCCAGCTTTGCCTAGGGAAAGCCATCCCATGCAGAGGGAAGGGCAAGGATAGCAGACCAGAGAATAACACAGGGAGACCCTAAAGGCAGGAAGAGACATGACTATAATTACTAACGATGCTCTGAGCACTTTACCTCCCTCGCTCCATTTAGTCCTCATGATAACCTTGTTATCTTCTCCGTGACATCAAGGAGTAGTAACGAAGACAGAGAGAAACTGAGGCACTTCGCTCAAGATCAGTGGAGGGTGGCCAGGAGTTGCACCCAGACAGCCTGGACTCCAGAGCCTGCCTGCCTGACCGCATCTAGAACTACCTCCACAAAGCAGATTGTGTCTTTAAGTCAGCTCTGTGGCCAGAGACTGAGCCCATCTCCTTTTTTTCCAGGTGTACAAAAGAGCCAAGGCCCTGGACCAGTCTGACAACGACATGTCTGCCGTGTACCGAGCCTACATACACTAAGCCCTCGATACCCCACCCCTGCTCCCCAGTCTTCCCTCTGACCCCTCCTCCTCACATGGGGTTGGGGTCCTGGGACTTAACTCTGGACCAGTCCACCTGTCTCCATCTCCTTTTATACAGACTTTGAGACTTGCCATCAGCACAGCACACAGCGTCACTCCTCCCCTGGAGGTCCTGGGGAGGGGAGGAGTGTCAGCAGGATTGGCCTTTGGGAAAGCTCTTGAGCTGGGCACTGGCCCCGGACTAGGTGGCTGTGTGTTCATACACACACACACACACACACACACACACAGAGAGAGAAATACACAATACAAACAACCCCTACATACCACACACTGGCTCTCGCCCCAGGATAGAACCTGCCCAGAAAGTGCTGCCTGGCTTTTTTTTTTTTTTTTTTTTTTTTTTTTCCTTCCTTCTGAGCTTGTCTTATCTCAGACCCTTTCCATTCAAGGAACTAGAATCAGCAGTAAGAACTGGAAGCCTTTCCACTGCTTCCTTCCCTCAGAGCAAAGAGGCTGTGGTTACATCCACATCCCCCTACCGGATCCTGCGTGTGAAAAAGAGGCTCTGGGGCAAGATGAGCCACACCGACTCCAAACAGGGTCCTCATGGGCCCTCCAACCTCAGGTGACCAGCTGATGAGGATTGTCATGTTTAAGCTACCAATGTGCAACCAACTCTCCATAAATGCCTTTGTGAACTGAAAAGAGATTGGCGAAGTTGAGCAGACGCAGGGCTCTGGCTCCCTGGGGAGAGCAGCAGATCGCCAGCACATTAGGTGAGCCTCACGGAAGCCTGCTCTCCTCGCCGCTCTTGAGCTCCTGTCCCAGAAGTCACCGTCACTGCAGAGCCCTGGGCTGGGATCAGACTTCCTTGCTTTGGTGTAGGGGGAGCTCACTCCTCACCAGGCTCTCTTAGTATTTGGATTTGCATTCCAGCCCTTGGGAAGGGGATCCTGAGGGCCACCAGGGAGGAGTGAAGAGGGAGGAGAGGGGTTCCTTCCTGTTTTCCGTTATGCTGCAGACTCCCACCTGGTTCTCAAGAGTCACTCTGACTGGGTCCCCTCACAGCAGTCTCACCCACTCCGGCCTACTCCTGTACATGTTCCCCACCTGCCCGCCTCTTCATTCTCTCTTCTTCATTTTCTTCCTGTGGAGACAGTGTTTTCTGTCCCTTCTTTGGCCCAGACCCAGCCTGACCAACGACAGCCATTTCTTAGGCTCAGCTCTTGAAACAGGAACGAGTGTCTTCACTTCAGCCAGAAGCATGGTCTTCGATGCTTCCAGGGCCCCAGGGTCTCTCGGGAGGGAAGAGAACTGGGTCTGACCCAATCTGAACTATCTGACCCTCAGAGGTGGACCTGAGACATCCTCAAGACCCTAACATTTCTCCTTGGATAGGGGACCAGAGGGGCTTGGAATGTGGCATAAAAACAAGGAGAAGTCACCTAAAGGATGTCAATGTTCTCTTCCTCTGCTTGGGTTGCATTTTCCAAAGTCACACTTTGCAGGTCAGCATTTCTAGTGAGTATACAGAATGAGACCACACGAGTGTGGACCCCTCCCCCTCAACCTTGGCCCTTTTCCGCTGATCAGAAACCAGGCAAGGGATCTCAGAAGACATAGGGGGAGGGCAGGGAAGATGCTGCGTGTTTTTGGCATAACTCCACTGGGATTTGGAATTCTTTTCTGTCTGAACACAAAGCCTGTTCTAGTCCTAGCCGGACACTTCGGGGAGGGTGGGGGTGGGGGTGGGGAGAATACTGTAATGAAACTGGTTAGTCAATGTTGTCTTAATATTGTTGACAATTCTGTAAAGTTTCTTTTTATGAGTATTTCGTTTAAGCTATTTCACCTTTGTTTTGAAGTCCTTCCCTTTTAGGAGAAAATGTGACACTTGTGAAAAAGCTTGTAAGAAAGCCCCTCTTCCATGACCCTTTTTTTTTCCTTTAAACCTCCTTTAAATGACAAATCTAGGTAATTAAGGTTGTGAATTTTTATTTTTGCTTTGTTTTTAATGAACATTTGTCTTTCAGAATAGGATTGTGTGATAATGTTTAAATGGCAAAAACATGATTTTGTGCAATTAACAAAAAGCTACTGCAAGCAAAATAAAACCTTTATTGGTAACACAACTGTGACTGATTACCTCAGCAGTGGCCACTACCTGCACCCAGACCCTCCCCGCCCAGCGGTGGAGGGGGGAGGGTCGGGAGCGCCGGGACAGCTCAGCTGGCGGGTTCTTCCCGGCCGGAGATGTTAGCGCGCGGAGGGCACGGCCGAGCAGGAACAGGCCGCCCTGCCTGCCAATCGCCGGACGCGGCGAGAACAAGCCGCCCGTTGGCCAATCAGTGAGCGCAAGCGGAACAGGGCGTCCTATCACTGCCGGGAGGGGAAGAGATAAGCGTCCGCCGCGCTCCAGGAGGAGCGGCGCCCAAGCGCGCTGCGCCCGCGGTAGGTGACCGCGGCGGCTTGGGAGAGCCGGCGCAGGCGGGTTCGCGCAGTCGCCAGTCTCGATTCGCAGCTCCCGCTCCGCCGGTCGGAGGCGGAGGCGGGGAGGGGGCCCGGGGAGCGGGGCGGACGCGCGCGCAGCCAATCGGCGGCGGGGGTGGACCAGCGCGCCGCGGGCGCACGGACGGCGGTTGGACCGAGCCTCGGGCGGACCGCGGACGGGTGGCGGCGATGGCGACCGCGATGGCAGCGACGGCGGCGGAGCGAGCGGTGCTGGTGAGGCGCGCGGACGGGGTGGGGTGGGGTGGGGTGGGGTGGGGTGGGGTGGGGTGGGGCGGGGCGGGGCGGGGGCCCGCGGGCCCGGGCGACTGACCGCCGGCCTGTCTCGGCAGGAGGAGGAGTTCCGCTGGCTGCTGCACGACGAGGTCCACGCCGTGCTCAGGCAGCTGCAGGACATCCTCAAGGTAAGGCTTCTGGCGGGCCGGCCCGGCTGCGGCTCCTTCCCGGGGCGCCGCGTCTGCCTCCCGAGCTCCTGCTGTGGACGCGACGCGCGTTGTGCAGACCAGGCCCTGCCCCAGTGGACTTGGCGTCCGGTGGAGGCATCATTATGTGATTGCCCACTTAATCACAAGCAGCCGTGTGAGCGTGGTGGGTGGCCCTGGAATGAGCCCCTCCGGCTAGGAGGGAGTCTAGGCGGTCAGGCTTGTGTTCAAGGAAGGCTTCCTTTGAAGCTGTGATCTCAAGGTCTCCAGCATCTTACTCAACCTCATGGGGCCTCCTTTTCGCAAGAACGAGATTGCAGTACTGGCGTCACAGGGCTGTTGTGAAGACAAGTCAACTCACAAAAATGTCCAGGCATTGCCTGCTATCGCCAGAATTTCGAGTTACCATGAGTACCGTCATTCCCTGACTCTGCTCCCCCACACTCGAGCATCTTAACCCAGCCTGGAGGTCATCTCTGTTCTATATCCCTGAGTTGGGCAGTCAGTAGGCGTCCAGGGAATGTGAAAGGAACAGCTATCCAGTCTGGTAGGACCTGAAACTCAGGTGGTGGGGGAAGGGCCAGAGAAATGGGAAGGTGCCCTGGAGGTTGGAAAACTAGCCTACTTTGTCCCTCCCCTAGCCAACCCAGGAATGGGGCTTCTGGAAGGAGAGGTGAGCTGGACTGCGTCAACTTTACTCCACTCTCCTTTACCTCTCCAGGAGGCCTCACTCCGCTTCACTCTGCCGTGCTCTGGTGCAGGCACCGAGGGGCCTGCCAAGCAAGAGAACTTCATTCTCGGCAGCTGTAGGTGAGCCAGGGCTGAGCAGAAACAGGAGGGACGGACTGCTTGTGTGGGGGACACCTGGGATACTCTCTAGGGGAGGCTGTACTGCCAAGGCCCTGCCATGCAGACTGATTTCAGCCCCAACATGCAGAGGGTGTGCTGTGGGGCAGCCTGGGCCATCCTGTGACAGCAGGGGCAACCTGCTGGGAGGGCGAGGTGGTGGGAAAGGGCAGCCGCAGGCACTGCTCTGACCCCCACATGTTGCAGCACAGACCAGGTGAAGGGCGTGCTGACTCTGCAAGGGGACGCGCTGAGCCAGGCGGTGAGTCCCCCAGCCCCTCTTCCCTTTCCCTGCTGCTGGAGGATCCAGTAGGGAAGAGTGTGGGGGCCTCTTGCTGAGCTTTGCCTTTACCCGTTGGCTTTGTGACCCTGGGTAGGATCCTTGACCTCTCTGGGCCTCAGTTTCTTCATTTGTAAAATAACAACCCACCCCACTAAACCTCCTCTGGAATTGGTGTGTGGCTTCAGTGAGAGGTGCAGGAAGGGGGATGCTTTGCACACGGCCTGGCCCTGAGTCTGGGCCCAGTGAAGCGTGGGCATTGGAGGGATTAGGCTGGCCCCAGTTCAAATCAGCCAACATCTGAGCTCAGCCTGTGCCAGGCACCAAGATGTGGGGGAAGGTTCCTCTCCTCCAGTAGTGGGTGTTCAGTCCATTGGCCTGTACCCATACTCCCTTTCTGCCCACAGTCACACCACCTCCTCCCAGCTAAGGCCACCTTCCCCTTTCTGTCTCTGTTCCCTTTCATTTCTTTGTGGTTCCTTTTCGGCTTGAGTTCCTGTCTCCTGACCTCCCTGTTCACACCCCAAATGCCAGGGAGGATGGGAGACTTTCTACCCTGTAGATTGGCTGGGGCCTGAGCTACCACACTCATGCCGTGTCTGCCCCCTGCTCAAGGGCTCAGAGTGGCCATAAGCAGGAGAGGGGTCCTCCTGCTTATACACTCTTGCCTGTCAGGACGTGAACCTGAAGATTCCCCGGAACAACCAGCTGCTGCACTTTGCCTTCCGAGAGGACAAGCAGTGGAAGCTGCAACAGGTAATCGGTCCCTTTTCCTGCCAGGGCTCAAGCCACAAGGGCAGGCAGGGGCAGGCCTGAGCGGCACTGAGGCCTCCTGGGGTAGCCGTGGGGGATTTAAGGCTGCGGCAAGCCTGGAAAGTTGTTTCCTAGCAGCAAAGCTGGGGCAGGCAGTGCCTGGGACTCCAGAGTCTAGCCTGGAGGGAGGTGGGAACCTGCTCTGTCTGTAGGCCTCTGGGCCCCAGTGGGAAACACAGGGAACTACTCTTCACAGAGCCTCCAGGAGCTTCCAATGGCTCCTGGGGACAAAGTCCACACTCCTCTGTGATTGGACCCTGCGCCTCCACCTCAGGGCCTTTGCCCATGCTCATCGCTCTGCCTGGAGCCCTCTCACTGCTTTATTCTTCACTGGGTGATGCTCAAGAGGCACTTCCCTGGGGCCTCCGTTGAAGTCCATCTAAAGAGGCTCCTCCTCCCCCCACCTGCAGAGTCACCCTTTTGTCCTTATGCAAGTCACTCAGTGTGTTGTCCTCTTGTGCCTTCGCTCTGCTATTATCTGTCCTCCTTTAGAAGGTGAGCTATATGATGGCAGGCCTCCCAGTCTGTGCCATATGCCCAACACCCAGGCAGGGCCTGGCTTTCAGTGGGCACAGAGGGGACAGCTGGCGGAGAGGGGTCAAGCAGCTGAGACCCACCCCAGCCCTCCCAGGAGGAGTCCCTCAGAGTGAGGCCCTGTCATCGGGGGCCCTGGACACTGTGGCTACTCTGAAGTTGGCATCTCTTCCTCCTGAGGCCCAGCCCACTGACCTTGCAGTGGGCTTTTTTTTTTTTCAGATCCAGGATGCCAGGAACCATGTAAGCCAGGCCATTTACCTCCTCGCCAACCGGGATGAAAGCTACCAGTTCAGGACAGGAGCAGAGGTCCTCAAGGTGAGCTGCCTGCAGGAGCAGGAGAAGCAGGATCCCTACTCCTGGTCCTGACCAGGCCGCCGGAGAGCTCTGCCCCCAGCAGCCGCAGGTGCAGCCAATGGTCGCTCCATCACCTCTTGATAGACATGTCCATGCAGTCAGTCAGATGACTCACAGCCTGGGCTCCAGGCAGACCTGGGCTCTGATCCCAGGGCTCCACTGAGCTGTGCAGCCCCGGGTCACTCTCTTAGCCATTCTGTGCCTCAACAGCCTCACCTACAAAAGGGTGCCGTGGTGTCATGACTGGCCGTTGTGATGATGCAGGCGAAGCAGCCCGTGGCGAATGCTCAGGAAGTAGTAGTCCTCCTAGACGGAGAGACACCCTTGTAATTCGCAAAGTGAATTCACATGGTGTGGACGGGTGGGCTGCACTGACACGCCTCAGATTCATGCTTTAGCTCTGTCCCTGACTTGGGTGATTCACTTACCCTCTTTGGACCTCTGGGTCCTTTAGGAAAACTTACAACTAGATGGACTGAGGTCCCTCCCAGAACTGTGACCACCCTGGGTGTAGGCGGTGCGGCCCCCAGGCCGCCACCCAAAATTTCCCTTTCCTAGAAGCCAGGTCACCCCCAGTCCCATTCCCATGACAATATCTGGAAGCAGTGGAAATTGGGGCTCTGAGGAGTTCTGGCCAGAGTTTTGGTCCTTGTCAAAGGAAAAGGATGAGTTCCAGATGGTTCCACCATTGACTAGCTATGTGACCTTACCACTTTGGAGCTTTACTTTTGAAAACGGGGCTGGTGCCCACCTTAAGACCTCAACTTACCCATCCTATCACCTCCTCCAGGAAGCCTCCCCTGGCTCCTTGCACCCAGCCTGGATTAAGGCCCCTTCCTCTAAGCTCCTTCACTACCTGCACCCCCATCCACAAAGACCTCATGACCCTGGGAGTAACTCCAGGGAGCTTCCGTCTTCCATTCCCCATTGGACCAGCACCCGGGACCCCATGCGGTAGAACCTCCTGCACAGATGGTCAGCAGTGCAGACGTCCCATCCCCCACCCGCAGCTGGAGCCCAAACATCCGCCCCTTGAACAAGCCCCACATTATGGGGGTTCAGGCCGTGAGAGTGGGACCACACAGGCAGGAGCTGGGCGCTACCATGACTTGGTCCTTCCCTGATGTGAGAGGGTGGGGGCTGCCCCCGCAGCAGCTGTGACCGGCCACCTCCCCGCAGCTGATGGACGCTGTGATGCTGCAGCTGACGAGAGCTCGCAACCGGCTCACCACGCCAGCCACCCTTACTCTGCCTGAGATCGCTGCCAGTGGCCTCACGGTCAGTGCCTTAGGCCAGCCCCTGCTCCGGGAGAGGGAATCCCCACCAAGGAGCCCAGCTTGCCCCTGGGAGGGACACAGGGGTGTGACGGGGTCCTGGAAACCCCAAACTGTTGTCAGTCGAAGGTCTAGGTCTGTGCAGTTTTCTGGGCCTCCGTCTTGCATCCCCCAAATACCCCGGGTCTGGGTCAGTGGTTCCCAAGCCTGGTGCAGGAAGCTCCCCGGGGCACCTGGGAAGAGTTTGGAAGCCCCAGTCCATGGGCTGGGGCATGGGGTCCCCCAGGCGGTCCTGGGGAAGCTGTGCCTGCCTGGCCCTCATGCCACCTGCTTGCCTGGTCCCTGTCCCCAGCGGATGTTTGCCCCAGCGCTGCCCTCCGACCTGCTCGTCAATGTCTACATCAACCTCAATAAGCTCTGCCTCACCGTGTACCAGCTGCACGCCCTGCAGCCCAATTCCACCAAGGTGAGGGGGACCCCACTCGCCCCCCCACCCCCAAGTGCCTTGCAGCCTCTCGGGCCTGACTGGGTCTGATGCTCTTCTGCTTAGAACTTCCGCCCCGCGGGAGGCGCCGTGCTCCACAGCCCCGGGGCCATGTTGTAAGTACGGTGCCCTGCAGCTCCCTGCCCGCCCCAACCTTCCACACCTTGGGGGCTGGGGGGCCGAGCTAATCAGGCCAGCCCCAGGGACCCTCCTTCTCCCCACAGCGAGTGGGGCTCCCAGCGCCTGGAGGTGAGCCACGTGCATAAGGTGGAGTGTGTGATCCCGTGGCTCAACGACGCCCTGGTCTTCTTCACTGTGTCCCTGCAGCTCTGCCAGCAGCTCAAGGATAAGGTGGGCTGTGGGGACTGTGGGGGCGGGGCGGCCCTTTCAGACAGATGGGGCCAGCAGATACTAGGCTACTAAGTCATTTCATTTTGGAGGGATTCCAGGGGCTCTTGTCACACCTCCAAAGCACCCCCAAATCTTCAGGTCCTCTGTACCTTCTGCACACACGAGCAGATGGGCCACGGTGTGGCTGAGCAGCAATACCCTCTTCCTGACACATTGCCCCCGAATGACCTTGAACCTGGGTCACAGGCTACAGTAGGGGCCAAGCCCCCTAACACCTCCACTCACCATGTCCCCCCACCTCTCTCCCTCCCTAGATCTCCGTGTTCTCCAGCTACTGGAGCTACAGGCCTTTCTGAGCAGAGCACCCAAGAGCCTGACCCCCAGGGGAATGGCCCCTGTCCCCCCTCACCCATCCCCCCCAGGAACGTTGGCCAGAGCCAGAACCAGGCGGCATGGGCTATTATTTATTTCTCTCTTTGCCCCATCCTGCCCATCACATTTGCACAGATGGAAATGAGCACTGGAAGCACGGAGAGACAGGGATGCTGGCTTGCTTTTTCTTTTACTGGGGGTGGTCAGGAAGGCAGAGCCCAGAGGTGGCCCACATTCCAAACCCTGCCCTCCCTTCACAGCGGGAACCTTTGGACTTGGGGTGGCGCCAGGCCCAGGGCTCTCCTCCTCCCTCCTCTTTCTGCCTTCTGACCTGCCCCAGGATGGTGACGGGCAGCCGTACTCTCCCCTCTGTTGGAGGGTGAGGAGTGGGCAAGGGCCCTAAGCTGGGAGTCAGGAGGGCAGACAGAACCATCCACCGCCTCGCTGTGGTGTCCTTGAATGTGTTTGCTCCGCATCCCTGACAAGGCCTCCAGGAAATAAAGATCATCTGACTACCTGGAGCGTCTTGTCTGTTTGTCTGTCTGAGTGAGGACCAAGCTGGGGATCCCTGATCATCAGCACCTGGGTGGAGTACCCAACGACGGAGCCCCTGGCCTCCTGTCCCACCTTTGAGGGGGTCCTCCAGGCTGCCAAGGGACTGAGTGGGCTGGGGACAAGTTTTCGGCCTCACGGTTCGGGCCACTGAGTTGGAGCCCAGCTTCCCCTGCTGTCAGCAGTTGCTGTGGGACCTGGAGTGACAGTCCAGCCCGCTGAAAGCCGTGGGGGAGCAGGTGGGCATCCGGAGAAAGCAGCGAGTGCCCACACTGCCCACCCCTTGAAGGGAAGCTCAGAACACACTCCGGACAACCAAGGCATCGGCACTGTGCCAGCAGGACACACGGGCAGGGGGGCTGGGGGGCTCGCTGCGTTAAGGTTCCAGGGCCAAGTTATCCACTCCCCTGCGGTGTTCCTGCAAGAGAGGCACGGGGGCTGGCCGGGCTTCCCTCATGTGTGCCGGCCGGCCCCTCTCCACAGGAGCCCCAGCACCCCCCTCTCCCCAGTGCAGTTCCAGGCTGCTGCCTCCGCTGGCGGGCCTCACCTGCCCGGTGGGCCTCACCTGCTCGGGGCTCACCTTCCGGGGTCTGGAGGCGCGGCGGCTGCAGCAGCTGTGGCAGCAGCAGTGGAGACAGACCAGCAGCAGCAGGAGCAACATGGTGCCTGGGGGCGGAACGGGTGTCCAGATACGGCCCTCGGCCAGGCCTAGGACAGGAGGCCAAGGGGGTCCAGAGGACAGGGCCGCACTCACCGAGGAAGATGAGGAAGATGATGAAGGCAGCAGTGTCCCAGTTAGACTGGAACAGCTCACCGCTCCTGAGTTTCCCCAGCACTTCCTGGGCTGTGGTCTCCAGCTCTTTCTCCAGGTCTTCTGCCAAGTCCATCTCCACTCGAGGCCTCTGGGTGCCACCTGCCCCGGCCCCCAAGGGCTGCCTCAGAACCCTGTTGTCTGGGACTGGGTGGCATCCAGGCCTCCCGCAGTCCAGCCCCTGCCCTGTGCCTGCCCCGTCCCACACCACCCCTCCACCCCTGCCCTGTCCCTTCCCACTCCCACCCGCCCCGGCAAACCCCCCCCCAGACCCCCACCAGCCTCGGAGCTCCCCCAGCCAGGCAGGTCCCAGGTCCTGAGAACACCAACTATTTCCTGCTTCCGGATCCTAGGTGCCTCCTGAGGCCCTGGCACCTTGGCAACCGGTCCCACCCTTCCCAGGGGGCGGCCAGACTCCAGAGGGCGGGGCCTGTGCCCTAGCAGCTGTGCTCACTGCCTCCCCACAGCAGCAGGTGCTGCAGGACCCACGGAGGGAGCCACGGGCCCCGAAACCCTCTTCCTTCTGGGATTTTTCATGTTTTCTCAGTAGACCAGACAAGCAGCCTGGAACACAGTGCGCCCTGGGCCGCTGTGGACTTCATGAGTAAAGACAGAGGGAGGGAAACGTGGTTTCCATTCCACATCCCTTTCCTGGGCAGGTGGCATTTGCCAGCATCGTACTAGGAGTCTTCTGTGTCCTTGTTTGCTGTATCCTCATCTTCAGGTCAATCCTTACGAGAAGATGCTTGTCCTCTCAAACAAGCTCTTTCCCCGGGACTTGGGGACCTGGGGGCCTGATGCTGACCACAAAGGCAGCTCTCACTCTCCTTCCTTCAGCACACATGGATCCAGGCCCACCAAGGGGCCAGGACTGCTCAGCACTTGAGGTCGGCCATGCCCCAGGTGGACACAGTTTCTGGGGCTTGTGGTCTAGCAGGGGACAACATCTCAGCTAGTGTCAGGCTCCGGACCAACCAGACCACCGGACACCCACTACCAGATGTGTCCTTGCAGCAATCCTGAACGGGCTATTCCCATTCTCCCCACACACAGGTAGGAAAGGCGCCACCTTGAGAAGTCTAGCAACCAGCTCAAGTCACACACCTGATGTACCCATTTCCTGTTGCCACTAGAACATATCACCCCTGCACTTAGGGGCTTCAAACAATCCAAATTTATTGCCTCACGGTTCTGGAGGTCAGAGTCTGAAACAACAGCGGGGCTGTGTTCCTTCTGAAGGCTCTAGAAGACAATCTGTTCCTTGCTTTTGCTAGCTCCTAGCGGGTAGTCTCTGCTTCCATCCTCATTTTCTCTGGCCCTGACCCTTCTGGCCTCCCTGTGACGAGGACCCCTGTGATGACATCGGCCCACAGGATGACCTCACGATCAGAATGACGTCTGCAAAGTCCCTTTTGCCGGGTAAGTTAACATATTTGCTCCGAGGTTCCAAGGATTAGGATGAAAACCTCTTTTGGGGGGGGGGGGGGGCATGATCCTGCCGGCCGTACCCAGAGTGAGCAGAGAAGCCAGACCTGGGACCCAGGCACTCAGACCCCAGAGCCCTTGACCGCCATATTCTAGGGTCTCCTGCCCTGGGTCCCTACAATCCCTCCATCCCATTCCGACGTCTCTGAGCCCTGTTGCAAGAGGCAGGGTCATTTTGAAGCAAGCAGAGTGTTATTGCCAAAGGAGAGGCAGGGCTGCGGCCACTGTGGAAAGCAGTCAGGTAGTGCCTCAAAAGGTCACGCGCTGGTGATAGCAAACGCCCAGCTATTCCGCTCCCAAGTATAGACCCAAGACAACTGCAAACAGGTTCTCAAAGACTTGGGCACAAATGTTCACAGCGGCACTCATCCCGAGAGCCAAAAGGTGGGAACAGCCCATGTGATCTGTCCATACTGGGCCCTTCCTCAGCCACACAGAAAAATGAAGTCCTAACACCTGCCACAAAATGGATGCCCCTCAAAGACATGCCACACAGTGAGAGAGGCCAGACTCAAAGGGCCACACAGAGTGGGGTTCTGTTTCCGGGAGACGTCCAGAACGGGCACATCCAAGGACTAGCGCTAGCCAGGGTCTGGGGAACTCGGGGGTGGGGTGGGGAAGGGAGGGAGTGTTTAGTGCTGATGGCATGTCCTTTAGGGTGATGAACATGTCCAGGAACAGGACAGGGGTGGTGGCATTATGACATTGTGAATGCACTCAATTCTGGTCTGCCACTTATCTGCTCGAAAGAAAGAACGGATAATGGTGGGGGAGGGGGGTGCCTGAGTGGCTCAGTCGGTCGAGCGTCTGACTTCTTGGTTTTGGTTCAAGGCATGATCTTGGGGTCCTGGGATTGAGCCCCAAGTTGGGCTCTGTGCTCAGCATGGAATCTCCTTGAAGATTCTCTCCCTGTGATCCTCCCCCACCCCACTGTCTCTCTCTAATACTTAAATAAATCTTTTTTTTTATTATTTTATTTATTTGACAGAGAGAGAGACAACGAGAGAGGGAAACAGGCAAGGGGAGTGGGAGAGGGAGAAGCAGGCTTCCCGCAGAGCAGGGAGCCCGATGCAGGGCTCAATCCCAGGACCCCAGGACCATGATCTGAGCCCAAGACAGACGTTTAAGGACTGAGACACCCAGGTACTCTGTAAATAAATCTTTTTAAAAAAGAACAGATAGGGGCGCCTGGGTGGCTCAGTGGGTTAAGCCTCTGCCTTTGGCTCAGGTCATGATCTCAGGGTCCTGGGATTGAGCCCCACATCAGGCTCTCTGCTCAGCAGGGATCCTCCCCCACTCCACCTGCTGCTCTGCCTACTTGTGATCTCTCCTCTCTCTGTCAATAAATAAATAAAATATTTTTTTAAAAAAGAACAGATAATGTTTAATTTTGTGTGAATTTTACCTATTTACTTATTTTTTTAAAAACGATTTTATTTATTTATTAACAGAGAGAGATCACAAGTAAGCAGAGAGAGAGAGGGAAGCAAGTCTCCCTGCCGAGCAGAGAGCCCAACTCGGGGCACAATCCCAGGACTCTGAATCATGACCTGAGCCAAAGGCAGAGGCTTAACCCACTGAGCCACCCAGATGCCCATACTTACTTATTTTTAAGTAGGCTCTACACCCAACATGGGGTTGAACTCACAGCCCGAGCCCAAGAGTTGCACACTTTATTGACTGAGCCAGCCAAGAGCCCCTTTACCTCAAATTTTTTTTTTAAGATTTTATTTATTTATTTAACAGAGAGGGAGACAGGGAGAGAAGGAACACAAGCAGGGAGAGTGGGAGAGGGAGACGCAGGCTTCCCGCTGAGTGCAGAGCCCGACGCAGGGCTCGATCCCAGGACCCCCGGATCATGACCTGAGCCAAAGGCAGATGCTTAACCGACCGAGCCACTGTTTACCTCCATTTTTTTTTAAGATTTTATTTATTTATTTGACAGACAGAGATCACAAGTAGGCAGAGAGGCAGGCAGAAAGAGGAGGAAGCAGGCTCCCCGCCGAGCAGAGAGAGCCGATGTGGGGCTCGATCCCAGGACCCTGGGATCATGACCTGAGCTGAAGGCAGAGGCTTTAACCCACTGAGGCATCCAGGCGCCCTACCTCAATTTTTAAAAAGAGGGAAGCACTGGGGCTTTTGGGTGGCTCATTTGGTTGATCATCTGACTCTTGATTTCAACTCAGGTCATAATCTCAGGGTTGTGAGATTGAGCCCCAAAGTGAGCTCCATGCCCTGCCTCGGGCTCTGTGCTTAGTATAGAATCTGCTTCAGATTCTCTCCCTCTGCCCCTGCTCCCTGGGGTCCGCAGCTGTGGCCCCTGTCCCCCCACCATTTGGCCGGGCTGGGTGGGCAAGAGGCCTTCTGTCCGCTCCTCTCCCCACTGACCCTTAGACTTCCCATCCAGACCCTTGTTTCTTGTTTTTCATTCCTATTATGAAAGTAAGACCTCCCCATGGTGGGGGTGGGGAGGTAAGACCTTTTCATTAAAGAAAATCTGGGACATTCTAAGCTGTTAAAAAGCAAAAAACCCCATGAGAGCCCCCAGACCCAAGCAGAGCAATGACAGGGGGGGGGTCATGTGGCAGGACATATTTCACATGGGTTAGACCCCCCAGACTTGGATCCTGCTCCCAGCCCTTACTGCCCACCGGTGTGTGACCTTGGGGCACAATCCCTGATCTTCTTTGCCTCAGTATCCTTTTCTGTAAAATGGGTGTATACTTAGCATCCCCCTTCTCGTCTTAAGATTGAACAGAATAATCTGCATTAACACTTCTTAGCCCACTGAGACGCTCTAGAAACACACACTAGATGGCCGTGTGGTACTCACCCAAATAGTGGGTGTGATTCCCCCCGAGTCTTCTGTTCTTCGTATACCTCTGGGCTCAGCGGCCAGGCTCACACTGCTCAGATCACTTTACCCTGGGCTTTTCGCAATCCGCATAGCCAAGGACACCTTGCAGGTGACTGCTGCTTTCCGCAAACCTGATCATCTCGCTTGCAGTGAGAGTGGCCACCCACTGAGCCTTGCTTCCCCAACACAAATTGTTCAGAACCCTGCTGCCACTCATGTGATTTTTTGGCAGGGGGAGGGGTGTTCTCTCCAGAGTGGCTTACTTCCTTAAGGGACATTTCCAGAGGCCAGATCTCCTCCTGCTCAGGGCCAGTCCAGCAGTCCCCAGTACTGTTCAGTTGTCCACACATAACATTCTCATTTGCTTTGAGGAGGAGGCCAGACTCCTGTATCCCTCCAGAGCTGGGGACTGATGGCTTGAGAGATTTCTCTGCTCCAGGCCAGGCTCTGCCCAGTCCTCCCACCACAGGCCCTGCCCAGCCTCAAGTTGTGAAGGTGAAGTTTGAGCCTCTGCCTTATAGATGTGTAGAAGGTGGGGGAGCAGAAGGGTCTGGGTACAGAGGGACAGAAGCTAGCTGGGGCTCAGGACAGTGAAGGTGAGTTGGACTGGGGCAGACTTGGTGAGTTCCCGTAGGCAGAGCAGGGTCAGCAGGCCGCTTCCTGCTTTTGTAAATACTTTTAAGGCCACACAGCCACACCCTTTGCCTGTCCGTGGCTGCTTTCCCGCTCAGACAACGGGGCTGAAGGGTACATGCCATAGAGATGTTATGACGCACAGGCTTTCAGAGAAGATGTTTGCCAGCACCACCGAGGACTGCTTACACGCCAGGAAACAGGTGGGAAAGAACTGAGCCAGGTGGATTTGGTATAAGAAGCATCTTATCAGGGACACTTTAGGGAGGGGTGAGGACTACGGCAAACTGAAGAGTTCATGGCCCAGCTACAGAGGGCAGCTCATCAGCTGTGGGCTGGGCCAGAATCACCAGGGCTTTCATTCTCGAAGACACACCGGAATTCTAGATGTTCCTGTGAACAAGAAAAGAGGCGTTAGAAGGTGAGAACATGGACTCAGATCCCACCCACCCTACCACTTCCTCACTAGGTGACCTTGAACACCTGGTTCAGACCCTCTCTGTAAACTGGAGGGAGTAACAGTGCCGGCTCCGGAGGGCCCCCAGAGCAACATATGCACAGACTAGGTTTGGGGCGACTGTTTCCTACATCAGTCTTTGGATTTTCAGTGCTAGCACCAGCAGTGGACAGACCGAAGAGGACACACAGATGTTCTGCTTTCTGGCTATGGATCACAGGTTGGCTTCTCCCAGCAGAGGGGTTAAGGGATATGAATTTGGAAGTCAGAGGGACCAGCTGAAGCCCGCTTAGCCCAGTTAGGTGACCTTGGGTGAGGGAACTGCCCAGAGGCCCTGGGCTCTGTCTATGTAACAGGAGGGGGGGGTCGCCGTAAGGATTTAGGGTAGTTTTCAGAAAGGACCTTGGAGGATCTTACCTGTCCCTGCCTTCAGCTCCCTGCTGTAGAGGAGCTCCCCACCCCCCACTCCCTTGAGGGGAAAGGGGTGGAGCTCAGATTCTTCAGTTAACTGTCACCCTGTCTCGTCTCCCTCACCACACTCACCAGGGTCTGCCAGGACAGAACAGCCCCCTGAAGCTCCCTCAGAGTCCCAAGGTCATCAGGTGCCACACAAAAGCTGCTTCTCCCTTTCTCTCTGTCCCCACGGGTCCAGACCCTGGGCTTTGTCAGGCTGGTCACATTCTGCAGGAGGTGGTGGGGAGTAGCCGAGCACGTATCCTGCCTGGACCATGGGTGGGGGCGGGAAGAAGCTGGGGGAGGGGGTTGGTGGGAGAGGAACAGATTCGTGGGCTTGTGCATCTCAGGAAAGGGTTCAGCCTCCCCTGAAAGGCAGCTCCTCCAGGAACCTCACCCCAAGGCCCTTGAGCCAGGCAGATGTGGAGGATGGGTAGATTACGGGGGTATCATGTGTGGGGGGTGCCTGGCAACAGAGCTCAGGAGCCAGAGTCCAGAAATGAGAATTCAGGGGTCCCCCTCTGGGGCCCCAGTGACCCCCTTCTTCCCACCCACCTGGATGACAGGCATTGCTGTGTCCTTGGCCCCATGGAACCCATGAGGCAGTCCCCCTCCCCCTGCTCATCGAGACCCTCCAGCCCCAGGACCCTACCCTGCGAGACGCTTGGCTACGTGGGCATTGATGCCGTGCTGGACCAACTGAAGATCAAGGCCATGAAGATGGGGTTTGAGTTCAACATCATGGTAGTGGGTGAGTGAGGGGCGGGGACTCACAGGACAGACCAATGAGTGCAACCTTATGGGCCCTGGGCACATCACTTCACCTCTCTGAGCATCAGTCTCCCTATCCGTAAAGGGCCTGATGATGGTCCCTCTTACCAGGTGTCATAGTTGAAGATCTAGAAACCCTGAGGCATTAAAAGACAAGAATTACGCAGAAAGCCCCAGTCAAACCCAAACCGAGCAATGAAAGAGGAGGCTGTGGCAGGAAGTGGTGAACACCTAGACCCAGATCCTGGTCCCAGCCCTTAACACCTACCAGTGGGTGACCTTGTGCACCATCCCTGACCCCTCTCTGCCCCCTTTCCTCATCCGGCTTAGCACAGGGCCTGGCGTTCAGGAGGTTCTCCGGAACTGCCTTTTTATATATGCAAAATTGATTTTGTAGGCCAAAACTACAATTTTAACAAAACAAACAAGCTACAACAGAACATAAAAGGTTGGAGCATGTAGCACCCATGAAGAGTACTATTCTAAAGCACTGCAGTCCAATAGAACTATAACATGAGCTATGTACCATCATTTTTTAAATTTCCAGTAGCTACCTTTAAAGAAGTGAACAGAAACAGGAGAAATCAATTATAACCACTTATTTTATGTAACCCAGACTATTCCAAAACGCTATCGTGACCTGACATGTAATTCACATAATAAATGATCCATGAGACATTTTGCATTCTTTTTGGCAAACCCAGGGCTGCAAAATCTGGTTTGTATTTGCTGCGGATCACACAGCTCAACTCTGTTTTGCCGTATTGCTGGCGGCAGAAGCCAAGTGTGACTCCCAGATAGGATAGCTCATCCCTAAGGACCACGTCCATTAGCTACACAAAGGTGTGTCCTTGTGAAGCAAGGTGCTCCCTCCTGCAAGGTGTGGTCCGCAGAGTTTGAGAAGCCCCCAGAGCAGGGAGAATGGACTGTCTACAACAACAGACAGTCTGGGTGTATCTCACCAAATAGCATCAAGCGAAAGGAGCCAGGCAGGAGAGCACACGCTAAGACAAGGGGAAGCAGAACCGCGCCCAGCTGTCGAAAGTCAGGGCAGTAAGCAGTTGTCCCTAGGGTCTTGGGGCTTATAGCTACTGAGATGGGGCGTGAGTGGGCTTGTGGGGAGCTGTGTGCTCCATCTCTACTTCCATGAGCTGTTCAATTTGTGAAATGTGTTAAACTACCCATCAGCTTGAATGGATAAACACAATGTGGTCTGTTCCTGTGATGGAACATTATTCAGCCATGGAAAGAACAAAGGCCCAACAGCTGGTATGACATGGATGAACCCTGAAAATGGGATATTTAGGGGAAGAAGCCAAACACAAAAGGACAAATAGTGCATGATTCCATTTGTAGGAAATGACCAGAATAGGTAAATTCACAGAGACAGCAGATTCGTGGTTGCCAAGGGTGACCATGGGGGAGAACAGGGAGGGACTGCTAATGACTGTGGGGTTTCTTGGGGAGCAATGCAAATGATTTGTTTTAGGGTTTTTTTGCAGATTTTTTTTGCAAGTGTTTGTTTATGTTAAAAAACAAACAAACAAAATTCAGGGATGCCTGGGTGGCATGGTTGGTCATGTGTCCAACTCTTGATCTCAGCTCAGGTCTTGATCTCAAGGTCATGAGTTCAAGCCCCACATTGGACTCCATGCTGGGCATGGAGCCTACTTCAACCTACTTCAAATATTTCTTTTTTTTTTTTTTTAAGATTTTATTTATTTATTTGACAGAGATCACAAGTAGGCAGAGAGGCAGGCAGAGAGAGCGAGAAAGAGGAGGAAGCAGGCTCCCTGCCAAGCAGAGAGCCTGATGCAGGGCTTGATCCCAGGACCCTGGGATCATGACCTGAGCCAAAGGCAGAGGCTTAACCCACTGAGCCACCCAGGCGCCCCAGAGCCTACTTCAAATAAAGAAAAATGTTTAAATTCAACCTAGTCAGTTGGAAGGTCTAACTGGCTTTATTACATGGTTCATGAGTAGGGCAGCATCCCATCCAACAAGTAGAGGGGAGCTCCACGGGGCTGTGCTGTAAGGCTTTGGGGCTGTTGTTGTGTCATTGTTGTTTTGGAAGGTTTTTATAAGAAATGCAGAGGGGGGCGGTGCAAGGAAAATTAGCAAAAGGAAAGGATTGTTCCAGGCAAGGCTGCTTTCCCTTAGGGGACAAGCCGGGGTCCCAGGTGGTTTACCTCCCTTTCCTTTGGGGGATGGAGAGCCCCATGTGACCAAACCTCATTGATGTTGGCCAGGAAATTCCTGACCTACGAGTTAACACCACATTTCCGGGGGGCGACTGGGTGGCTCAGTCGGTTAATCCCCACGACGCAGGTTATTTTTCACAGGAGCTAGACAGAGGTGATGGGTGCACAACACTGGGAATGTACTAAATACCACTGAATTATTCACTTTAAGTGACTAATGGTTCTTTTTTTTTTTTTTTATCGTATGAATTTTGCCTCAATAAGAAGGGGGGGTTAACATTGAGGGGGACCCTGACGATACTACCCACTCCTCTGTATGTTATGCTTACAAAACAGTTCGCTTTCTATAACCATTTAAGAGCCTGAGAAGCACTGCCTAAAACGTCCACCACCATTGCTGTCCCCCGGTTACCCCCAGGGCAGAGCGGGCTGGGCAAGTCCACAATGGTGAACACCCTCTTCAAGTCCAAGATATGGAAGTCCACCGCGCTGGACCTGGAGACGCCTATACCCCAGACGCTGAAGCTGCAGGCGGTGACACACAGTGAGTGGCCCCCCACCCTCCTCCCCACCCTGCTCCACTCTACCCCCGCCAGTCTTGCTCCACTCTGTTCTTCCCACACAGTCATCGAGGAGAAGGGCGTGAAGCTCAA